GGAGGGGGCGGTCACGTGAGTCGCACGCGGCGGGGCCGCCATCTTAGAGGCGGGCGCGCCCCAGTGCGCAGGCGCAGGGCCGAGGGCGTCATGGAGGTTTGAGGGCAGAGGCGGCGGGGCCGCCGTCTGGGCTTGCCCCTGACCTGCCGTGAGGGGCCCGTGGCGTCACATCGGCCCGGAATCTGTAGGGGAGCTCCTTAGGCACAAAGATGACAGTCGGAAGGGAAAAGCCTGAGGCTAAACTGACGTCTGAGGCAGCACCACATGCCGTCCTTGCTCTCAGACGGGGCTCTGTGTGAAAACTTTCCTCCATTAGCTGCCCTGTTAAACAAAAAAGGTAGCTTGCCGTCGTGGGATGGTTTGGGCAGAAGACACATGACAAAAGTGATTCAGGGCATGGCTGCTCTGTCAGAACTAAAGCTGTGAGGCTGCTTTCAGTTTCTGTGAGCCTCTCTCCACAGTAAGGAACTTGGACTGAAAGGTGAGGCTCTGGAAGAGGCCTTTTCACCTTCGAAGGAGGGAGGGAGCTGTTGGCAGCGCTGGCAGGGTGGTGGAAGAGCAGCAGAAGCTGAGGGGATGTGGCCAGAAGCAGCGAGCATAAAATCACTTTTTGCAATTCGTGACAATGGCAAGAGGCAGCGTAAAGAAACCCCGTCCTATTGCTTTGCCCGTTGCATAAGCAAATACTATTAAGTTAGCCGTTTGACGATGTTGAAATGGAATTAAACCTTCAGGCATTAAATAGGATTAACATGAGGAAGATTTTGTGCTCTGCTATGTCCTGTCGCTATACATCACCTTCATTAGGAGGGCAGTGACGGGGGCGAGGACATGAAAAAGCAGCCTGGGAATCATTAACAAAAATAACAAAATCTCAGCAGTGCTTGTTGAGTCAATGCCGCTGATTTGGGGAGGGGAGAGGAACCTTGCTACCTTGCTAATTTGCTGTAGAACAAATTAACCCAATATTGTATTTCTCATTATTTTTAGCCGCACTTAGCTGTTGTTAAGCCATTTTCTGGTGTCACTCCTCTTAATAAAATCTGTGACTTGAATAAATTTCCCCAGCAACTTTGTATTGGCACCACATCTGTGGTATCAGCGAAAGATTGTCCTTTATCTGTTCCTTACAAAGTGTACCCTGATTGAAGTTTCCTATTGTAGTGCTTCTCCTCCTGGAATTTAGTATCGAGCACGACAGCTTAGTATTAACGTTTTGTTTGTATTGATGGGCAATCAGTTGTTTTTCTGATAATGCTAAAGAAAACAGAAGACAGCAGCACTAGCAAATGCAAATGAAATGTGATCATCTTATCTTATAATTACTTGAGTAAACAAGTGCTGAAAAAATTAATACTGCAACAAACATTTCCTTGAAAAGTCAATCTGCATTTTGCTTAAAAAAAAACCAAACAAAAACCCACCAAACAAAACAAAACCCAAACCCTTACAAATATCCTAAAGCAAAACTTGTGCTGCAGGAACTTGTGACCTGGAATCCTCGGTGAGGGAGTGTGCCCAGTACTTGGTAGATGAAGGCACAGTTTTTTAAGAACAAGATAGGCAAGGCAGAGGCAGCTGAGTGGGAGGGCTGCTGTTGTGCCAGGTGTGCACCAGTGAACTGAAAAAAATGGAGTCTTCTCTTGTGCAAGAAGCAGTAGCAGAGGTCTGCCACTAGAGAAAAATAATCTCGTTGACAAACAGCAGTTAACAGTTTCTGCCAAATGTCCGATTTGAAGTGGGGATGAGCTCCTTTCTCAGTACGACCTTCTTTCCCGGGAAGCGACTGCCAGCTCCGTCGGCTTCCCCATCAGCAACCGAAGGCCCTGCTTCTCTCTGCAAGGTTTCGGAGTCCAGGCTGCATGCCCACACAAGACTCCCATTTCGGCTCACCAGACAACGGCACTCATCTGGCATTTTTTTGTCAGCCCCTATGTGCTAACTTGTTTTTGTCAGCGGATGTACAGGGGCATGAGCCGAAGTTTCGCCTAGCAGCTGTGTGCGTGTGACATGTGAAAAAAAGACCATAGCACCAAGTCGCTGCACATGCACAGCAGGAATACGGGAAGACTTTTCGTTACAGTATTTTCCATAGATGAGTGGCATGCTGATTTAAATCTGTTAAGGCTGTATTGATTACAGTCCCCCTGTCCATCACCATCATCTGTCATCATCTTTGGGCTGCCAGTATGACAGCTGTGAAGGAGCAGAATAAAGTTGACTGGCAGAATGTTTTGCATCTAATGAGTCTGTGCACAATAAGAGTATAATAAATAATGCTCTGGAGGAACTCGGCTATCGCTTGAACACCGAAAGAGAGATATTGCCTTAGCAGAAGCTCCCAAAGCCATCTGTCATCTGTCACGAGTTGCATGTCTGTGGCTGAGCTGGACTGAGGGAATGGAAAGCACCAAAGACTGGTGATGGGTGCCTTGTATCATGCAGAGATATAAAGTGGGCTGACATCAAGAACCCAGAATCACTCAGGAAGAGCTTAAAACTACAAAGGTGTTGTGGATTTGATGCAATGTTACTTAGCAGCGCAGGCTGCTAGAGAGACTTTTTCCAGATGAACCTTGGTCTGACATTTACTGAAAAAATCACGTAGCAATAGTCTGTCTGTGGTGTGACATGCTGGTGAGCTTACATTTAGCAGATGGCTACGACCATCAGGAATGAATTACCACGGCTTAGGGATGATCAGAAAAAAGCAGCAAGGAATGATGACCCAGCGAGGTACCAGCCCTCGGATGGTGGGTTCAGACAGTGGTTCCGATACAGGTCTCCTGGGTGACGTTGAGCATGCAGTACACGAAGAACAGTAAGCCTCCAACACGCTGCTAGGAGAAGCCCCTAAACCTACTTGGTGGTCCACCAAGAGCAGCAGCATGACAGCGTGCCAGCCCTTCTGGTCGCATTGCCATCAATCGCAGAACTTGTTTTCAAGGGTCACAATTTGCAGGACGGTCCTGTGATTCCCATCCCCTGCCCCCTTGAGGCTTTGATAGCCAGGTGTTGACTGAGGCTGGCCATAGCAATGAAGAGCTGGGAGCTGTTCCACCCTCTCCAGCAGCCTGGCACAGCCCACACCATCGCCTGGCACATGGGAATTGCTGCTTTGGGAAGCAGGAGACCTCCTGTGGTCCCCATGGGCTGCCTTCTCCTCCCAACACACCTCCAATCCCTTGACTAACTTGCCCATCACACAACACAGGGGCTTCTCTGTGGGACAGTGGTCCCACAGGACATGGGGAGCTGGTGTGGCAAAAATTGGGAAGGGCAGAGGTATCTTTGCTGGTTTTGTGGCTGAGGCTGTATCAGCTAGCCAGCCTCTGAAGGGAGGGATCACAGGAGCCTTAATCCAAAATAGCCTGTGGTCAAACAGGCACGGAAACCCCAGCACTGTGGGGGAGGACATTAAAGCCTTCACTAAAGTCCAGCTTCAGTCCTTTAGTCAAGTCCAGCTGTCCCACATGACATCAGCCCTGGTCATATACCCACCCAGCTCCATTCTTCATGCAGCTGATTTTCCCATTGTTGGAACATTCAGCACTGCACCATTGCCAATGTTAGACTGAAAACCACGAGATTAGGCAAGCCAGCAGACATCTGTACTAAGGGTTTCTTCTCATTTTCAAGCCTTCTGCAAGCCTTTATTTCATATTCTCAAGCTTGTCTCGGACCACACACTTTTTTTATTAAATTGAATATTGTTACCATTTTAAAATTGTTTTTGATGGACTGGGTCCAGAGATTGGTGCCTGTATTCAAAGATGCAGTACTGCTTTGCAGTGGAGTTTAATTGGGGTGCTGTTTTTTGCTTTTGAACTTATCGTAATTATGAACAGATTTTTTTTTTTAATATGTCCCCTGGTTTCTCCCTTCGAAAGAAAATCTCATGTTTAATGAACTTAATTTTAGATAAAAGGAATTAAAAGGAGAAAATTAAAAATGCATGAAGCTCCTAGAGTCATCCAATTACTGTGATGTCCATACAGCAATGCCAGCATGGATTTTACAAAGCAAGTAAAAGCAGAAAATCACTGGGGCTTGCCACATGTAAATGCCGCTCTATTCCAAAACGTGCCGAATTAGAAATGTACATTTTATGCATTTCTTCTTCTTGATCTGTTGCAGAAGAAGATAAAGATCAAACATGCCAGCCCACCCTGAGTAGCATATGTATGCATACCCAGAATGCTCGCTTTCTTTCTTCAAAACCCCATCTAGCTCGAAATACCAGAATACATACAAGCAGCAGCAGAGGATAGTCTTTGCATTCACAGTGCAACAAAAGCAGCGATCAGGCTGGTTGGAGGAAGTGGCACTACTGAGCAGTTCCCAGCAAGAGAGAGGCAAGCCGGATTTGGCCAATCAAATAGCACTGTCAGTTCCAGATCACTAGCGATTTGACTCCTCACCTGTGGCAGCCTCCTCACCTCTGCCACACAGAAGAGTTACCTGTCACACAGCTGCGTCCTGCACCTGTCCTGCTGGCACCGGGCAGGAGATGCTCACAGTGAGCAGGGGACTGCAGACAAGCAGCGCCCAGCCCCAGCAATGAAGAAACAGGACACTACACAGAGGGACCCCGCTGCCTGCCTGAGGAGGAGGTTGTTTCATAGACAGCCCCCACCCTCCGAGGTGACAACGCTCAGAGGCGAGCACTGTGCAAGCATCTCCGAGAAAGCAGGCATCTCAGGACAGATCTTCACTCATCCCCCAAAACCAAATAAATCACAAAAAGGCTCAGTCTCACAGGGCAGGTTTGCCATCAGATCAGGAAAACACTTAGCAGTTAAGAGAAAGCATGCATACAGGAAGGCCATGAACAGTACCAACTAATATTTATTTTGTATTTAAATTTTATTTGAATATAAAGCAATAAGCTGCACTTTAAACAGTGGCACTCTCAATATACACAAGACGATACTGCTTATTTCTTCCCAAAAGCGAGCGGGGGAATCTTAATCATAGAAGTCATCAAATTCGTCTGCTTCTGTGCTGTGAGTTTGTGGGCGCAAAGCAGCCTCAATCTCGGAGCTGCTGTCTTCAGATTCGCCCCAGAAAGCTGAGGGTGAGGAGAGAAAAAAAAAAAAAAAATCTTTTCCATGTTTATGTCATTTATGTCACAGACATGATCATTTTACAGCTCTCCAGGGGCAGCTAGACACCATGGCTTATAGAGAAGGTCAGAGTTTTGAAGACCACAAGACCTCAGCGTGCATTTCCAATACAGCGTGCTGTCAATACGTCGTGGTCTCCAATACCGGAGCTGCTGTGGCCAAACAGTGGGTTCATTCAGAGGTCCCACTTCATTGTTCCTCAAGGTAGCTTGAGAGAACATTTCCACTCCAAGCAATTTACTTGACCAGCTGCTGCCTGAATTACAGCTTTGTCTATTATGTTCCACTTTCTCCCTCTACTTGACCCTGCGGTGAAGTCACAATCAGAGCATGACATCACAGAGTTGGCATAAAAATGGCAATGATGTCACACATGAAAAATGACCACTTTGAGATGGGATCAAATACAGGCAAGATTGACTTCAAAGAACTGCATGGCTTTAACAAACAGCTCTGGGAATTAGCAAACAATTTCACTGAAATAAACAGAATCACATTTAAATTCAGAGTGCCTGGGAGATTCCTCAATACATAAATTCATTTGACCTGAAAAAAAGTAAAAAGCAGGGCACATGGGGAAGCACAAGTCAAGCCCACAGTCACTTACAAAGCTGTGCTGTCTGCTTTCAGAGGGCTGCTGTTTGTCGAAAGTCAGTGCAGTAGCCACGATATCCCAAATGAGGCATAAGACTCAGGAACAGGGATTCAGGCAGCAGGAGGGAGGAAGGCTGTCATACCTCCTACAGAAATTTCAGCTCATGTTTGGTTGAGGCACCATTAATGCGTTCAGCGCTTTTGATGGCACAAGCTATATAAACATCTTATCTACAAATGGAGCAGCTGCATCTTTCATCCTATATCCCTGGCCCCCTGGACTGCAGGTCTGCACTCGGCTGGGAACATCAGAGTGGCGCCGGCTGCACCCTGTGCTTGCTCCCATGCTTGACACCTGGGCAGAGGCTGAACATGGCTGAAAGGCTCCAAAAAAATGAAATTCCTCAGCAGAGAAGGAAATGGGCTGGGGTTGTGAGGGCACCTTTCAAATGGCACCACAGCAGCTGTTGTTTATGGCATCCTTAAACCAGCCCAGACACCACACCTCTAAAATATGTTCTGTACCACTTGGGACTGCATAGTGCCTAAAGCTGGGCTCCAGGCGAAGAGCTGCCTGCTCCCAGCACTGACTTCACTTACAGAAGGCTCCATTAGAGGTGACTTCAGACACCAGTGGTCCTTATGGTGGTTAAAAGAGAAAAACAAAATGCAGGGGAGAATGAAAATGTGCAGGACCCAAACACCAGCTAAAAAAGAAAGCCTGCTTGCTCGTGGAAAACAACTGTTCCAGATTTTTTGTTCCAGGTGCACGGGCGCCTTTGTGCACCTACCTATTGTAACTGTGCAGACACACGGGCTGCTGCCCATCCACTTCTGCAACTCATATTTCAAAGGGAAGATCAAGAAAACATCAGGTTTTTCCTTCTCTAGGCTTTCTCCCACCTGCTGTTCACTACTGTTTGATTTGATTTGAACCCCGAAGCAAAGATCACTACTCCTTCCATACCACTGACAACTATTTGCTGGCTCCTGTATTGAGACAGGGCCATTCCATGCTTTCCCATCTCCTCATGCCCATATTTTATTCAGTTCCATGATGTTGTCCTTAGAGGTTTTCTACAATATAAATTACACTTAGAAAGACATCTGTTTTAAAGGGCGTAACATTGGCTTCTTACCTTTGGATTTTATAGCAGCTACCATTCCCTTCCTGGTTTCAGTCCTGTAAAAGAGAAAGATTTCAAATAATCAGCACAATGTGACAAAATTAAAAGAATGTAAGTCAACTTTTAAAAAAAAACCCAACTGTGAGGTGGTTTAAAAAAAAAAAATCAGTAACTTCTGTAACTACTTTTTCTTTAAAAATAATTATTTTGTCAAGGGTTTCTTCACCTTTATGTCTTCTAAAAAGTGGAGAAATTAACATGCAGCAGGGAGACTGGTCCAGATGTTCAGGCAGCATGAACTGGAGTCATTCCTTGGTAACAGCTCCAATTTACACCAATAGTGAATTAAGGGTACAAAGGATCAGAGCTCCGTCTATCTTTTGCGGCCTTTCAGATAATGCAAAGAAAGTAAAGAAAAAATCCAAACAAAAATAAAAGCACCCCCCACCGATGCTCACTGAACTTCCTTAGTCCCCTTCCTGCCAGTGTCCTCCTCCAGCCCAGCTACTGGGTTCCCATAGCATCATCCACATCCCTATGTAAATGTGCAATCTCCCGGCTGCCTTTGATCTACCTTGATGTATATGCAGTTGCGACTCTGTTCTGTTAAATGACTGCTCTTGTGTCTAGAGCATCACAGGCCCTTTTGAATCTCTCAAACAAGCTGGAATCATTTTGATCTTTTGTGTGTAGCGTGTGTATTGTGTTGGGGCTGTGAAATAATCACATAGGGGCAATGATGTAGGAGAATTAACTGTTATATTAACAGTCCTGCAATAAGCTCTAAAAATAAAGCTTCAGCTGATTTTAATAAGGAAGATCAAATAGGAGATATTTGTGACATTGCTGTGTGAACTAGTAAAATATAAGCAAATGCCAAGCTGCAATTTGAAGCTGTTGTCACAGTCAAAACAGGACTCAATCAGCTGTCAAAAATTCCACATGATTTGCTGCATTTCATTTAAAGACATGGCAGCTAATGCATAGTTGTTTAAAGTGGGGAGTTAAAAATATTCTACTATTGTGGAGGCATTTATGAAGGAGATACATAAAAAAAAAAGAGATGATTCACTGCTTGTCTTGTACCACTGTATTCAGTGAGAATTTCGGATTGCAGCTGGAAAGCTAAACTTCAAGCAGGGGGAAGTTTCATTATGTTACAGCTACCTATGTTACAAGAACTTTTCCTTCTAAATAAGAGAAAGCTCATACTCTTTAAATCACATTCCTTTTCTACAAGCTGTGAATGCCATTAGCACACAGCCTCCCTCTTTGCAGATACACAAAAAAATCCCTGAAATAGAATATTAAATGTAGCCAAAGTTCAACCAAGACACCAAACTGAGGCTTAAGTACTAGTAACAGTAACAATACTAGTAAAGTATTAACAGTGATATAACTAATTATTAGCTTATTAAGTAAAAAAAGTTCAAAATGTTAGCCTTCAGATGTTTGTCTGCCATTTTAGCATTAGCAAACCATGCAAATGCCTTTCTGTTTTATTCAGAGTCAAACCCTACACTGCATTACACTTCAACTTCTCGTTCAAATACATTTACTCAACAGTTATTTCCAGCAAGTATTTTAAGTCGGAGCCTCTGGGCTGAGTCCTGCAATATGAACACCCTTAACTCTTGTTCACTTTGGTGAGATTCCATGACCCTCAGCATTTCCCAGGAGGTGATCCACGTATCCCAGGCTTAGCCCATAAAAATGTGCTCAAGAGGCTGCAACTCTGGCAGCTGGATCGTTTTTCCCCTGGGTGTAGAGAGAGAAACCACTTGTTGCTGAGCTACAAATTGAGAGGTGACTTCTGTGGCAGACTGCACAAGAACCATTTTCTCTTCAAGTAGTTCAGTAAAACAAGATCAGGCAGCTGGCAGCTACCGCTTCCACTGCCTGCTGCTTCGTCTCCCATTGTCAAGAAGGGAAGCATGTGGGGTTTTGTTATTCAGCCATGCTAGGAGGTCCCTAGAAGTGATTTTTTTGCTCCACTTCTCTCCATGGTTCAAGCCCAGATCAAACACGAGAGGGTTGGTCATTTGGGCCCAGAGCCCCTGCTGTGCTGAAGACCACTGCGCACAACGTGGAGTGTGGGACCACCACTGCAGGACTTCCCAGGTCTCAGGCGGCTTGGTCCTCTGGACAACTCAAAGCACTGTGAGGTGCTCCAGGTCTGGCTGAAGGCCAGCGGTCTCATGGAGAAGTTGCAGCGGATAAGGACCACCATGGCTGTAGGAAGGTCTGGAAACCTTCCTCCTTCTGGCCTGGCTTCCCATGAAGAAGGTGGTCAATGCTGACAGGAGAGGGGGAGAGACAGATGTTTGTATTCTACCAAAACCCATCTATTTGCTGGGGTTCATCCTCCCGGAGCTTATCCCACCGCACGTAGAATGGGATTCACCCCCAGAACAGCACAGAGCTGTAGCGCTGCACCCCAGGAGCTGGGCGTTAGCGTGACACAGCAGTCCATAAAGAGAAAGACGGGGAACAGGGCGTCAGCAAAGGCTTGGCACAAAAGCTGTTGGCACACAGAGAAACGCCTGGGGAGATAGGGAAGAATGGAGCTAGGACTTCAGAAGGGCCAGATTGGAAATCGCAGCTCCACCAAACCAAGCCTGGAAAATGCTGCAAGATAGCTTTGTAACAGGGAATAAAATTACTGAATTATGTCTGAAGTGTTGGTCAAGGCTGATAAGATGCAAGAAGATCTCTACGTTGCAAAATTCAATCATGAAAGTTATCATCTGGTATACTGAGCACACAATAACGACACAGACCTCCGCGAAGAAATTTTAGGAGTATAAATGAAGTAAGGCCAGTTTCACTGCCTTGACTAATCCCCCGTCGTGACTCTTCAATATCCATTTACACATTTGCTTCTTCCCTAAAATAATTCCAAACTGAACCCAGGCTCTAACAATGAAAAAACCCCAAACTAGTTTAACTTCAAAGGGCCTTTTAATCTCTCCTTTACTGTGATGAAACAGGCTTTTTGTATTGAAGATGCTGCAACAATAAGAAATGAAAAAGCTCCAAGAAAATATTTTTCCCTCTCTAAAGAAAATTAATATTAAGAGGAAAATACCAGACCAACAAGAGCCAAGTTAATAGAGGTGGCGCACAGAAAAACAGCAGAAAATGTTTACTTTACTCTGAGTATCTTTTTGCTATAGCACCTGTTGAACCTCTCTGTTTTAGTGTCAAGTAAAAAAAGACACCCAAACGCCAAGGGGGGTAGAGACCCAATTGCAAAAAAAAGAAAAAAAAAAACCACCCCAAAACCAAACACCACAAAGAAAACTACCCAAACATCAAGGGGAAAGAAAAAAAAAAAAAACAAACCAACAAAAACCACCCAAGCACCAAGAGAAAAAAAACACCACCCAAATGCCAAGTTTTATCAGAAAAACAAACAAAACACAAAGTGTAGCAGTGTCAGGAACACTGATACTCCAGCTAATCTTGTCAGAGGCTCGAAGCCTGCGTGCCTCCATCCTGCACAAGCGCTGCTGAGGCAGCATGCCACAGAAAACAAATCGAGCACTTCTTTTTCACAGGGTGGTGCTTATTAACCCTCAGCGAGAGAAGCGATGAAGCTTCTCCCCAGCAATACGCAAGGATGCGGATTCGTAGATCCATCTTTAAAAAGCATGTTTCAAAACCATCTAAAAGCCTCTTGGTAGTAAGCAGGCCAGGCTGCTTAGTGGCAGTGCCTCCGATGTGACAGTCTCAGCTGGGTATCCCCCATGATCATACGCTTTCCTGCCAGTTCCTGCAGAACCCCGAGGGCTCTATCATTTTCTGCTGATCATTTACTAGAAACTGGGCATCACAAGTATTGCCCACCCTGGAAAGTCAGTATAAACTAAAAAAATCCATTCATCATGCCAGAATTGGAGTAATACTATTGAATTTAAGTAATTACACGGCAAGCAGGATGACCTTTTTTTTTAGGATACAAAGACCTACATCGAGCTACATTTAAGATCGTTCGCTGTTTAGATATACCATGCTGAAGAAAAAACCCTACCATTCTTGCCTAGAGAAACTGCTAACACAAAGACTGCATCACAGGGCTGTGATGAAGCTGTGTCGGAAAAGCGTAGGGCATCGCCGCAAAAATAAACTATTTCCTCTGTACTACAAACGCAACGTATTTTGATAGATGTTGTTGCTTCTCCCCACAAACCATTCCCCACAAATATCCGTAGAGCATCCCCACTACAACATTACGATTTCTGCAACAGCTGGATGCTACGATTTAGGAAAGTAAGCTCACAGAAATATCTGTAACGTCAGAAAAACGTGCTTGAATTTACAGTCGGCTTCTTACAGAAGTGATGTGACAACTGAAAGTACAGCAGGAGGGTACAACAGCCGGATACGGGCTGGTTTCTAGGTGTATCTCTCAGGAGCCTGGAAACACGCTATGCCACTTTCCCTGGATTTCCCGGTAAACGCATCTCCCGAGCGCTCCCAGCACCAAACCTCTGGAGACTCTCCCCAGAGCCCCGGCCAAGGCGGGCTGTTCTCCCCCCCAGCCAGTCAAGGGATGTTGGGGCCGGTTTTGCAGGGGGGGACGCGGGGGATGCGCAGAGCCCGAGTGCCCCCCGATGGCCAGCCTCGGTGTTAAACATCGCCCCCGAGGATAATTAAGAGGATGAATTATAATCTGCCAACTTTTATTTGCATGTCATTACATCTGTGTTTGGTAAAGGCGGCTTTCGACTAGAAAGCTGCCTTCAGAGACCAGACCGGATTACTTCCAGAAGACAGATTAATCAAAGTTTAAAATACTTTACACCATGTTTATGTCCTGACAAATTAAAATTGTTCGTTGGTTCTCAGTCGATAATGCATCTCTAATCTCCAGATTATTTCGAAACGAGACAGCGCAAACAAGTCAAAGAAAAATAAACTGCTTGCATCAAAAATTCGGAATTACCCAGAAAGCTAGTGACCTCCACTGGCTGCATCCATCGCTACAGGACCATGAAATGCCACACACATCGCCTGCTGCCCGCTCTCGCTGAGAGATTCAGTCCTGACTTCTGATACCTTTTCCCCCAAGTAATTGTACAATTTAACGTGCTCTTTTCTGCTGCAAAACGCTAACTCCTCAAACGAAAGCTGCATCTCTGTGCACGTAAATATTCCCTCAGTAAAGTAAATGAAGGCAGGAGAAAGTAGTTTTATAGCTAAGCAAAGAGCAGGATGATATTTGCGGGAGAAGAGGAAGCTCTGGCATGCACCTCCGAACAAAAGGGAACAAGTGGTCTTTACTCGGAGAGCAGCTTCCTATTAAGACTCACTCCTTCGTACATTATGCCTTTCATCCCCACTCAACCACAAAATGATTTTGCTGTAGGAAATACAATGGCAGAAAAAGATTTACATTGAAAGAATCTTTAATAATAAACTGTTGCAGATCTGCCTACTTCCCCATGATTTATAATACAATAAACATCGGATTCTATTAAGTCTCATGCACTGAAGACACGCACTGAAAAACCGAATATGAAAGCCCTCAATTCTTCCCGTCTCCAGTACCATAATAGTGAAATGAGCATGTATAAATGTGCTAAGAGTATCTCTTTGCATCTTTTATAGCTTGTGTGTATTAATCTGTAAAGCTTATTAAGAAAGTCATTGCTATGCAAAGCAGCACCCAATCTCTTTCTCTTGCTTTTCAACAGAGCGCAGTGTTTAGCCAATAGGACTGGTCCCCTGCCCCTCATTCGGCATTCATAACATGCAACATTTGCACAATGTATCTCTCAAAGGCTGCTGAATAGAAAGCCTTAATACTCATGTAAACAACTGCAAACCAATTACTTAATGAATCAGGCCCACACATAATGAGGTGCCAGACAAAGAGCTATAAATGCATTTTTGCGCCCGAGCCTCTGCTTTAAAGTAAAATCCCTCAGCTGTAGTTTGGGCTTAACTGGCACATCATAATTATTGTCTGGAGGACATCAGAGGAAGCCATTTTTTTTATTTAGGTCCAGCAGGGTCTTTTGCGAGGTCACTCATCAGCTCAGTGACAAAACGGAGCAAAGAAGAATTTATAAAAAGTACCACAGCAGTGCTACACAGTTATGTTTATTCTCAAGTAGTGGGTTTCGAGACCACTTGTAAAAGCAATAAAGCCCGAGAAGTGACTGCAGTAAGTGGAGCGCTTAAATGTGAGCGGCAAAGAAATTGCACTGCGTCCTGGCCGCAAACAAGCGGCTGGCCGCCCTTTCCATTTCTCCATCTTTCTCACTACTTTTGCCACTCTCGGTCTCTGCAGAGCAGATGCCAAGTGTCCAAAAGCAAGGGTTGTTAACAAACTTCATGTTTAGCAGGCTGCGTTATTTTTGACTTATTTTGAAAAACTAACTTTAAGCCGCTGTGAGAGATTTCTTTTTTTAGAGCAGCATCATCATGTATCAGCACATGAAGCGCACTTGCTTCTCAGTGCTGAAAGGCATGAAATTATAGGGCAGAGAAAATTATTTTAAAATCTATCGCAAACAAGAATTTGAAAAAAACAGCAAAAAAAGTACGCTGTATGAACAGCATCTGAAAAATGTATTTTGAAGTTGCCGAATGCATTATTAGCAAGCAGTGCAACATCCAAGGGGGAAAAACCTTGGAGGCTTTTTTTTTTTAATTAAAAAAGATAGTTCATTTTAAATTATACATATTTTATTCAGGTGCTTAGCAGTGATGCTGTAAGCAAGTTCTCCAGGGCGTGATCCTTTTCTTCCTGCTGCCTGGGCTTCAGTAAATTATTAAAATTTAACATTTAAAAATTCATCTATAGGAGCACCCTTACATTTCACAGCATTAGATAGTATGATTTGGAACATCATTCTCAAAGTTTCAGAAAATTTAAAAAGAAAAGAAAAAAGAAAAAAAGAGTTTGAGCATAAGACTATAAAATTAATCCTAAAGAAAAGCATGAATGCCATTCATCAATACTGTATTACAGCTTGTATTTACTGTACTTGAAGAATTACAGAAATACTGTGATTTTACCACAAAATGCAGAACAACACTTGCAAAATTGGAACTGACCTCATCAATAACAGCATAAAAAAGCTAAAGAAAGATAGCGATGCCGTATAAGCAGAAGGAGTTAAACATTTATCAAAATGCTTTAAAGTCCTTTCCTGAGTGCTATTGATGGCAGTTTTCAGACCAGGAGCCGCGTAGCAGCAGCACCCACTTGCTGGGCTGTTCTAATAAGAGCAGATAAGGATCTAAAGCCCAGCCAATATTTCATGAGATGGCTGTGTTATATCCTATTTTCTGCTGCTTCTTGACCACTAATTTGATTGCTGCTGTTTGATTACTGTTACATGCCAATGAAGAATACAAGGAACATCCAACAGAACTGCTCAGGGACCCAAAGGGAACTGCTGTAGTTAAACCCGCACACAAAAATCCCCCCAAAAACCCACAAACCAACTTTTTTTCTTAAAATAAAAAAAAGAAAAAAAAAAAAGAAAACCTGCAGCCTTTAGGTACATGGGAGGCCATTAATTAAACCTACTCAGTTGGAAAGCAAGAAAGGCAAGTTATAAATACCCCAGTAAATATAAAAAAAAAACCCAAACCCTGAGCCCATGAAAAGCGTTATCCAGTTACAGCTAGTTTACATCTCAGATACATGGAGAAGAAACCCACCACTTTATTTCTTGAAGACTTTATGTTTTATGTCTGCCCCTCTCCTGACAACTCCTATTGTCCGGCCCCTGAGTAGCCCTACTGAGAGCAGCTGTACACGCTAATTTGTGGTTCACCGAGATGTCAATTGAGTCTTAAAATGAGAAAACAACAGCTGCAAAACAATACTTGGCTGTGGCACAAATATTTTCTAAGGTGTACCAAAGTTTAAGATGTTATATTAGATAAACATAAATACAAACCTTAACCCTAGATCAAGTAAAGAATAAATTAATTGGAGCTTCAGGGATTTTCTGTCAGCGCTTCTCATTCTACAGAAGCATTTCAAATGTTACAAGATTTAACAACTTTACCTTGAGAAGGGAGGACTTCTTTCATTTGGTGAAGAACTAGTTTCTGAATGCATTTCTTGGCCTGCTTTTGCTTTGGAACTATTATCGCCAGTATCCCGACCTGTTAAGTGAAAACACGAAATGTAAATTTTCAAATAATGATGGCTGGACCTTATGACAGCGTGCAGTGCCTAGCAGCAACACACTCTTATTTTCAAATAGATGCACATAATGGCCACAGTCTCAGTTTGATGACAAAGTCCAGAGAAGAGCACACAGTTATGGTATCTGCCTCAGGACTGCTTGCTCATGATTAAGTGGAAATCAGTTAAACACACAAAAAACAAGAGTCCCTCACTATCAGTTTTCTGATGATGATTTCTTGTGAATAGTGAAATTTCTATATGCTTTACCTCATTTTAGAAAAAAGAGCAAACACTGAGATTCTTTTAAGAGCTGTATTGCATCATGGTAACTTCACACAAAACTTAAAAGGATTTCTGAGGTCTTTCTACTCTTTTTTTTTTTTTTTTAATTCCTGAGTTCTCATTTCTTTAGTTAATCAGGAAGCAAATTTATTTTTATTTCCCTTCCCCTTAAATGTAGATTATTTTTTGTATAGGATAGTTACAGTTCTCTTAATATTATTTGATACATCAGTATTTTCAACCATTCTCTTGAAATAGAGCTGCATTTGGGAGACACAAATCTTGGGATTTTTATGACTTAAACAGCTAAATACACAGCTATTTCAAAACCTTTTATCCATGCTGTCCTTTCTTTCCTTTCACCCCCCCGCTCTGTGTATCTCATTTCCATTCTGTAGAGATTGATTTAAAAAAAAAAAAAAAAAAAAAAGAGGTAAATGAATTCATTCACTGGAATTGTACATTTGCTCATCTTTGTACTCGTTCCCAAAGAACATGATGCTCAAGTACAAATCCCACTTTGAAAGGCTACTTTGCATATATATATGAAAATATTTATATATGAAAATATTTATATATAAAAGTACTGAAGTTATAAACAACCCCTGATTGTTTCCAACTTCATTCCAACCCAGGATAATTTAGTATTTCTGTACATCTTGGACACTCTACTTTCTAACTGGCTGTGCACATCACCAGTCCGCTCCAGCAGCTCACACCACTCTGCGCTTGGATTTCAGTAGCACAAATCTTGCTCGGTCTCAGCAACAAAGAGGTGCAAGATGCCAGACTGGCACAGGGGATGGCAGTGCTCGGGCACAGGTGCTGCACTGGCAGCAGCATGCTGCTTGCGAACAAAGTCCGACCACTTCCCAGAGAATGCATGGAGAAAAAAAGAAATCAAGAATGGGAGGGGAAAAACAGAGAAAAGGAGAAAAAAAAGAAAAGGAAAAAAGGGGGACACCTCCCTTTCCCATGATGTACATGCACAGAGGAGCAGAGACCTGCGGAGATCACAGAGGACGTCCTGGATACAAGACTGATGGCAGCTCAGACCCACAGACTGAGCAGTGTGGGCATGCACTGAGAAACCCCTGACCACAAAGGAACGAATAGTCACGCTTGTTTGTACATCACTTTGGGAAAGTAAAAAAGCTAATTTAATCTAATCAAGTCAGAACTCCCAGAAACTGCTTTTCACTCCAGCAATAAAGCACTTAATATGGGGGTGTTTTTCAGGGCACCTCATGCACGGATTCAAACTACAACACACAACACGTCCGAGATTACGTGCTCACTTCTTGCCTGGGGATAGAGCAGGCTTTGCTTCAGGAGAGCATCCCTCTGCCTCGAGAAAGCCTTGCACAAGCAAGCTGTGCCCAGCTAACAGAACATAACAGGCCATAGACTCTGCGAACATTCAAAATCCAGTTACATGTACTCTCAGACATGGCTCCGGCGCATGGCTCGCTCCTTGTGTGAAGGAGAACGTGAACCAAATGGGCTCCACACAAATCATCAGTTCTAACCACCCTTCCCATTTCAGCCCTGCACATGCAGAAGGACATATGTACCTCATTACAGTCTGTTAATGAGCTGCACGCTTTTCCTCTTTCCCAACTGTAACAGGTAGAGTTTCCAGAGCGGATGGCAGCTTCAGAGGGTGTTAGCACACCGGTTAAGTGGCTGTATGCGGTGCGTGCTTCTCAAAGCCTTCCATGTTTAAGGCTAAGCCTGGGAACCCGACCCTGAGCAGGGACCCGATACGTAGCTTTCTGTCGATGGGGTCCCCTGCAGCAGGAACATATCTGCAAACTCAGGGAAGCGCTTCTACCTGTGCATGAGTAACTTTCTCTGTTGCTGTTGAATGCTCTTCCCATCCCTCAGGGCAGTGACATGGAGCCCGTCTTTGATCCAGGCATACCCGCCACACCTTACCAGTTGGCACTTAAAAGTCCAGGTCTTTGCCAGCCTTACCAAAACTCAAACTGGGCCCTGTTGTCATGCAACTCTCCTTACAGCTTTTGCACACACATCAGCCTCAAAAGACCATTCTCCCAAGCTTTCTGTACCTGCACTGGCTCCCCTTCCTTCGCAACATCAAACAGTAACACAAACTACTTGTTCTTCACCTTTAAGACACTTCAGAGCCCAGCTTTGCCTTATCTGTCAATGGTAATACAATGCTGGGCTGTCAGTCCCCACTTCTGCCTTAGTTACACCAGACTGCCTTGCCAATTAGTCCAGTCTCTCCCCTCGAGCATCTTTGTGCTGACTTACACCCTACACACCCTACAGAAATGGGAGATCCTTCTAGGAACTCCTAAGCCCACCAGCTCACCCCCCTGGAAAGCCTGCTGCGGCGATTCATCTGGGCTGCAGCACCCACGAAGTCTCTGACAACGCGTAATCAGTGCGCAGTGACTGCTGCTTTGTGTGCTGAGCAATCACCTGCTCTTACCTCTTCCTACCCCACTCATCCGCTTAATCTCCATGCCTTCCACAACGTGTCCGCATTGTGAGGTGGCAGAAAGGAAGAGTCTCGGTTATGGACGTGCAGCGCTAACAAAACCAGCCCAACCTGGGCGCACAGCAATACTTGCTTCACCATTGTGAGAAAGCACAAGCGATTGGTACAACGTACAGGGCAGAGAAGATACAAGAAATACGCTGCTAGGAGAGAAAACCCTTAAGCACTTCACTCCTGATAGAACTGCATCATGCCATAAAACCCTTATGCAGATCAGTGTATTTCCTTCATAAAACCGATCATCATGCTTAAGGTTAAATGCAACTCAGTTCAAAAAGACACTTATTTTGGGTTGTGTGCGTGTTTTTGTTGTTTGTTTTGCCAGAAACATCTAACTTGTCGTGCTATAACAGCCAAGAACACCCTTCCTGTCACAGGCTGGGGACAGCGAGAGGCATGCTATGCTGAAACACAAATACACATTTATCCCTGAGCACACAGCAGAACACAACAGCGCTGGCAAGAAAGATGCACCGAGTGGAGAAGAGGCAAAAAAAGAAAAAAGAAAAGAAAAAAAAGCTACGTTGAGAGGGCATCAGCAGCGTGCAGACTGAAACTCTTGGATAAAAGAATTGCCAGTGCCATAGAAGTCATTCAGCAGGGAGCAGTGGCACTGGGAAGCAGAAGCAGAGCCGAGAGGGTGGCTGCAGGCAGTGACAGCGCTGCTGGAGAGCAGCGGCTCCCGACGGCCATCTCATAATGCCTCCTGGGCCATACACAGGCTTGGTAAAAAGCACCTCTCCCTTCCCATCCCGATTTGGTAAATTCAGACAGATGCTATCTGCTTCTGCTTGATGTTCTCTGCCTAAGCGGTCTACAGAAGGAGCAGCCTCACCACACCACCAGCTCTCATGTTCCAGAGACACCCCAGAAGCAACGCAGGCACACAGGGGTGAAGCTGTCTGGATGGGGTGCTTTGAGCATTTAGTCAGTCTGAGGGACCAGCCTGTACGGCACAGACACAACTGAACAAGCTTGATAAAACTCAGACTTTAAACACAAACTGGGATGTTAATAATGGAAAGATCTTAATCCAATCATTTGAGCAATACTGCAGCAGAATGGGAGCTGGTGTGTCCCAGACAGACAACACAGCTCTCCTTGCACCTTTTTCCCTATGCATTGTTCCTTCCACTCAGAACTAGCAAAGGATCTGCAATACCACTATTAATTAAAAACACTCCACACTTTTCAACTTTGAATTAATTGTGCAGTCAGCATGGGTCAAAGCAGCTTTCATGTCAGCTTTTACAATTTTGTTCTGAACAAAATGGGTGTAGTTTTCTTCATTAGCCAACAATTCCAGGAAAAAAACCACTGTTGTTGCATAATGAACTACTATTATTTTGTTCTGCCAAACCATTAAACTGATTTTAACCCAGAACACACTGTACCAGCCCAGAACTGAAAAGAAGGTATTTTCTCTGTGTTCCTCCCTCTATGGCCTAGGCTGCAGCATCTATCAATTTATAGCCAAACATCTCAGCGGCTAAAAAAGTGATGTCATGTAATTTTCTGCAACTGAAGAGATAAGAAAGCTCTTGGCCTCACACTTGCAACATTTATATCTTGCTAATTTTATTACCTGTCCCACAGAGGAAGAAGCCCACACCTTTTAAACATCAAAACCAGCATTAAAGCCCTTCACTGCAGCTAGAGTCCCAGCATAGAAAAGTCATCTGCAGACACCAAATTGTCTTTCCACAAACAATCTCCAAGTGCTTGACTCCGCTTGTCTGGAAATGGAAAAGCTAAATCACAAGGTTGATGGTTTTTAAAATGCACACTGGGAAAACAGAAATACCACTGTGTTCATGTGTAGCCCGTACGGTTTGTGAGCAAAACTGAAGTCTTCGACCTAAGCAACAAAGCACGTAAGCAAGCCGTAGAAGCAGAATAGTAGGTGCTGCTCTACCGGGAGCGGAACAAGAGCACTTTGTATGCCACTCAAAAGCTATAAAGAGCTATCATCCATTATTTCCAATAACAATCAATAATCCCATATGCAAACGAGGGTAGTTGGAGGCCAAAAGACCCCAGTGCTTTCGCAGACTCAACCCAGACACGTGTCCGTATCTTCCTCCCATATGCAAGTGAGAACCTACACCAAAAGGAACTTAGCTTTTTCTGTGTGCTTTTATCACCAATAAAATAGTTAGCAGCTTGGGTATTTCAGTTGTCACTAGACTTCAAAGTCAATAATGCCTTGAAAGGAATATTATCAGGATCAGCTGAGCCTGCAAGCTGTGTAGCTTTACAGTTACCTTGGCAATAGTTACTGCATCCACATTCAGAAGTCCTGGTAGGTCTGGGCTGCCATACTGCTAGGTCCTGTACCAAAATAGAAAACTAACAATAGCTCCTGCCCAGAACAACTTTAAATCTAAACAAGCTCCTCCACCACAATAACACTAATTACTGCGCTTGCTGACAATCTACAAAGAGCTACGCAGGATTAAAGGTGGGCTGTCAGCCACCATGCCACTGCCAGCACACCAATGGCCGCCGTGCACGCCTCTGCCTTGGGACCAGAGGTGTGAGTCCTGGCTGTATGCGGGCTCTTCTACACATTGATTGCCCTTGCAATAAAGCAAAAAACTTGCATACAGAGAGAAGATAAAGGCTACCTGCAAATCTGATAAAAGGATGTCCTCTTTGGAGAGCAAACAGACAGAAAAAAAATCTCCAAATTAAAACCTGAGCAGAACAATGAGATAGCCAGTATCCAGAAGTAGGTCAAATACCAACAAATATCTCCCCTCTTCCTTTAAATGAAAAAGAGGATAAATCCTCTTATCGTAATAATATACCAACATACGATGCTATCCTTTCAAGAGCAGACACTTGGATGACCAGTGAACTCAGGAAATATCAGTGGAGCAAGCCATCCAGTGAGAATACTCCTAGAAGCTGCTGCCTCTGTTTAAAGATCGAAGAAGAATTTTCACCCAGAATTCATAACTATAAAAAGACTCTGAGGTCTTTCAGGAACTTAAGTTGAGCAGCATAAAATATCACCTACTGGAGTACGTAATCCAAACTAATTTAAGCAAAACGTACAATCTTACGCTGTCCCAAGGTAGTTCTGTCAGACCATAACAGCAGCAGCAATTAATCACGTACAAATGAACTTTTTTCATAAGAGCAGTTGTGAATGGGTTGATATCAAATGAAGCAAAAAGTTGGGTAGACTTATTAACACCTTTATTAGTGCACTCCAAGTGGAAGCTCGGGAACCTTTTAACTTGAAGCTCAAAGGAGGACCTGTGAGGAAGGATGCGTGGGTGTGGGAAAAGTGTTGGCAGGATTATTGGCTCATTAAAGGTGACCTAAAAAGGAAAGGAGAATTTCATTTGTGCCCTTTCATGTTCTCTTATCATATATAAAGAAGGGCTAATTTTTTTTTCTTAAGAGGGTTTTCCCTCCTTATTTCTACATTAGAGATTTTATACCTGGAGAGTAGCTGGAAGGTGACATTCAAGATGTTGTGAAAGTGAAGCCTGATGAATGGAGAAGTAACGCCTTTTTTATTCAAATGCTTTATAGCTTTAATGTCTATTTAAATCAAAGACATAAATGAAGGGTAGAGAGAATCTGGTTTTGGTAAAGATTTAACAAACCTGCCCCTTCAATAAAATCAGCAGTTTCCTGCTCATAAATGAGACTCTTGAACAGGCATCCAGCAAAACAAGAAATAATGGGGTTTATCCTTTCTTTTTTCATCTGGCATTATTCGCATACCTCAGGAACAGCAAAAAAGCTGAACAATTTATTTTACATATCTTCCCACGACAAAAAAACAAAGCATCCATGAAGAAAATGAGAACGGATCCACATATCCTCCTCTATCCTCATATAACCTGGTAAAAAATGAGATTGCTATTAATAGCTAACTCCTCTCTGGGTGAGACCATACACAAAATACAATCCTTTTAAAGTCAATTATCACAACACAGCCTTCCACAAGCTTAGGAAAGAAACCATCTTTATGCTATGAGCTACATTGCCCCCATGCCCCCAGGTGACTATGGGTTTGCAAAGCTCATGTGGCCTGCCAGGGATGGGAACAGCTCAGCAGATGTTTCAGTCCAAGCCTCTCTTTAGAAGAGATCTGGGTGAAGTCTCACGAGCAGTTTCAGGCTGTCCCTAAGTGACATCCAACACCATGCCAGCTCTGACTCTAAAGCCCTTTCCCCAAAGCCACACAGCTATCTCCTTCCTCCCCTACAGGCATTAAAAAAAATACAAATATTTCCGGAATATTTAAAGAATATTAAAACAAATAAATATTTTGGTTCTTTTTTTCTGTTACAGAAGAAAAATAAACCCAAACTATAGAAGTATTCGTAAAGTGCCATCACAGAAGACTGCTTGGAAGCATGTCCACCCAGCTCTCACAATGAAGTCCATCAAAACTCGGAAGCCTTGGGGCTTTTAGTGTTTCAAACCAACACTTAAAGCCCTTAAAGAATTCAGCAAGTACTGAAAAAAACCAAAATTTGTATCCCTTAAGCTTAGAAAAAGTTGTACAGCAAAACGATCGTGTACAGAATGGACATTAAATATCAGGCCATCTAAAAACAGAGAGCCAAACCCTCAAACAAGTCATTTGAACCCAAGAGACAATGCACAGAAATGCTGTCTCTGTTTTAGGCACAGAACAATTTCAGAGCTCCAGGGCCGCAATCTACAGCAAATAATGATGAGCAAAAATGAAAAAAGCGACAGGCTGGAAGGGCGAGGAGCCAGAAGAGAACAAGAAGCCCAGAGAAGATCATGGGCTGAAGATGAATCGCATCTGAAAGGAGCAACTTTGCTTTCAAGTGAGATATGAAAAGCCTCACTCCTAGAGACAATGCAACCGCTGGATACTGGAAACACGCTGCAACAAAACAGTAAATAAAGCAGACTCAGAAAGAACAGATTTTAAACTGAAGTTACCGGTTTCAGTGTTTAGGTTACGGAGAGTTTCTCAGCAGTTTTACTAATAGAAAGGATTAGTATTTGCATGCCCATTCAGTGAGAAAGCTACGGGAGAAGTAGGAAAGGGGGATGTCCATTGTGGCTTAGCTTTTGACTAACTGACATCTAACACAGCAACCAGCCGCACACACCATCAGGGTCCCCAGCAGGAAAAACTGCAATAGAGAATTCCCTGACAAATTTGTATGCAAAATCATAGCTAAAACTAGTACTGGTAAGTCATAAAATTCAGGGTGGGGAGAAGCAAACCAAAACCATTGGCAGCTATGGAGATCCAAACTCAAGAGCCAGTATGCTCTTTAAAAAAAAAAAAAGTATCAGTGATGGCATTAGTTGGAGGGAGTCACTGTTCCTGACATTGTTCTTGCTGGCACTCTCTGCAGTTTAGGGAACTTAAACCCCAACCCTCAAATTTGAATCCTCTTAAGTTAAACAAAATCGAACCAATCCCAAGATTTGAAAAATTTTAGATTAATTTTCAAATGAGAAGTGTGTTTTGTTTCATTAAAAAGATTTAAGTGGCTTTTAATTCCTCTGAAAATTAATGCAATTCATGTTTTAAAATACACTGCCATGTGTGACTGAAGGACAGTTTAATAAGCAGGAAAATGGAAAGCATTCTACTCTCTAGAAAAAAAATAAAATCTAAGTTTTATTGGGCTAACATAGGAATACTATTGCTGCAGTATAATTCAGGAGTACAAGAAGCACATTTTTATATTTCAGCTGCAAATTAGGCTCAAAAAGCAGCAGAGGAAAACCTCTATAGAGAAATGAATTGCCCTCTGAAAGACAGGCTATTTTGAAGCCGTAAAAGAGCAGAAAAGCAACAGCGAGTGTTGCATAAGCAGATGCCCTCGCACCTTTCTGTCGGAGTACACACCTGCATAAATAAATATTTAGCCAAACATCAAAATTTATAAGGAAGCAGCCCATGACTTCACAAAATCAGGCAAAAGCAAATTGAGACTCATTGCAAAGAGCCCTGCCCTGAATACTAATGTGTTATTGATACCCCAGGACCGAAAAGCAGCAACATCTCAGGATCCTAAGCAAGCTTCATACATCTGCTGCGGGAGGATCTGAACACGTCTTGATAAAACCTTATTGCTAAAAATTTTGTGTTATCAGTCAGCTTTTGTAACAGAGACGAAGGCAAGGCTTCCTGGCTAGCAGGGCTTTTCCCTGCGCTTATTCTAATGATACACATTCAATTACTCGAGAAAAGAAAAGAATCAAATCAGAAACATCTGTAGTTTGCCATATAATTACTGGATCTTCCCCATGGAGACTGACCTTTGTAACACTGATACCGGGACCTGAAAGGCTAAATGACAGGATATTCACATGGTTTAAATGTATAACATGATTACAAGGAATTAAATAGGCGCTGTTATTTTCCATCTTGGTTTATGTTAACATGAGCGTGGACTTTATGATCTTACGTTTAATCTTTGCGCTCAGTATGTAGTAGCTGAATTTACTCACTATTAGTGGACCCAAACCACTAAAATGCCATGTTTTGATTATATAATAAAGTTGAATACTGGATTTGAGGTTAATATGCAGCCATTACTTTTACCTGTAATAGCAATCTTTTCAACCATGCTTTCTTCCTTGCTCTCATCTTCACACCAGCTTGTGACTTCTGGATGTGAACACACTATAATGAAACACATTTCAAAGTCGCAGTGATCAGACTGGTTTGTTTGCTTTTAAGCCCTACTCCCTTTAATTTCTCACTTTTGTTATCTCTTGTTTATTGATCTAAACTATCCATTACCGTTCTTAAAAGAGGTGCCTACTGTGAACTTTCCTCGCATGCGAGGCTACCCTGCCTCTCTGTAGCTTCCAGAGAAAAGGACAAGCTAACCAAATGTCTTAAATAATTTAAGACCCAATGGGATTTAGGAAACAAACAACCCACAGTAACTCTGCGATCTCGTCCAGCAGCCCGACAGCAGCAGCGTAGATCATACCGACCACGGAAAATTAGTTTAAATCAAAGTCTCTGTCTCCTCAGCGGATAAAAGTCGCGTGAATTTAGGAGGCCTAAAGCAGTTTGTTTACATTTGTTGTGTAAAGAGCATTGCAACCTAATTGCCTGCCTCTTCCGGACTTTGATGTAAGGGATGCTCTGAGAGCAGACTGAGCAAGTTGCCGTTGCCGGTTATTACACCGGACTAATATATTACTTCCTTATCTAAAGAAATTAACTGGGTTTTCACAAACGTATTCACCTTCTAAGCTCTCAAATGGCACCACACACCTTTCTCAGCATGAGCCCTTTTATTTTTGAAAATTTATTTTGCCGTCTGGCTTTATAATCAACGGCAAAAAATATATGCTACAATTTCTAAATGGCAGATGTTTTTTAAACACATGCACACCTATAGATCCATTTTTAATAGCTGCCACAAGGCTTGGTTTTCTCCTCCCGCAGAAAAAATTAGCCACAATAGGCATCACTCATTTTAAGAAGTGACAAGAATGACAAACGATACTGAGAGATTTAGGAAAATCCTCCAAAGTTCGTGACAAATATACATTAATTTGCCAGTCACTATAATACAGTCCCCTGCAGATTTGGATAGAAAATACATACATACAGAGAAGGACACTAACTTCAAGCGCGCAGCCGGACCTTGTAACACTTGTTACCTTGTCCTCCTGTGCCAGCGAGCCGGGGAGTGTGTTTCGCCTGCTTTATTTCCCTGCCGTCGTTTGGGATCGATGGCAAGCTGTAAGATGATTCATTACTCTGAATAGATGACCTATCCCCACACTCTTCTGGAAGGGCCTCTCTCAACACCGGTAGAGCCTGCAGCATTAAAAAAATAAAAATAGCCGCAGCCCTATTATCCTTCGTCTGGAGCATTTTCCAACATACATTTAGGCTCATCTATACTTCACGGTGTAATCTGTTTCCAGGGTGTTTTTGTTAGATGTTAAATTACCTCCGAGTTAAATCGGCGCTAGCTCAGGAATTGCATTCTGCCTTGAAGTAACACAAACTTTGAATTATTCTTTTAATCACTAGGTTTTCTGGACATTCTCAGTATTCCCTGCCTCACGCATTCAGGGTAAGCAAAACAGGAGGGTGTATCAAATATGCTGCAACAGCAACAGACTGAGAAGAAATCTCTCCATTTCAGGCACACAGCAGTAAGGCAAGTTAACCCACAGTGTTGGCAAAAGCCTGCAGCTTAAAACACCACCGAGACTGATGAACCCAAAGGCAGAGAACCTGATCCACAGCTTGCCCAAGCTAGCCTCAGCCAGGCACGGTTCTGATTTTAATCTGTACTACTGCTGCACGTTCATGAAGTTTGTTCTCTCCTGCCTGTGTGTGCAGCCCTCTGCAGCAGCACTATTCAGACCTCCATAGTTAAACATATTTTTGATGCAAAAATTTAAGCTGGAAGACAGTACCTTTACAGGGAGCTGAACATACCATAAATATGGCCGAGTTAAAAGCAGGCTGAAAATAAAGCAAGTGCTTCTTAGGTTATCATCCACCTGTGTTAAAAGTGCTGCATGGGGCTTTTTATAAAGCTCTTTCTGAGAGCAGGAGAAATCATCCTTCCTGGCACTTATTATTTCACACAGAGCAGCAAAGGCTTTTTGGGCATCCTTCCTATCTCTTCTTGACTTGTAGGGTGTTCCTCTTGGTTTTATTTTGTAACACAAAACATGGACTTGAGTCTTTAAAATCTACTAGATTTTCTGCTCTAATTATCTAATTATTTAATAAAACAATTGTTTAATAAAACAATAAGCCTTCAGCAATGAGGGCCAACATCTCAGAGAGAACTCCAGGTTTTGTAACTTGTATGTATTGACCTGAGAGTATGGAACGGCTTCAGGCCCAAGCATTTCGGACTCATGAGAAAATTCTGTTCTCCTGTATCTGCCCCCTCCTCATTAATCCGTATTTACTCAGGAGCCCAGAACGGCAACTTTTCAGTCTTAAGCAAATGGCTCACCAAATTTTTTTCTGTTTAGTCAACTTACATATGGGAAGTCTCCATACAAAACCAATGCAAGCAAGCTGCTACTTCATTGAAAAAAATGCAGATCTCAAGTCTTGCTTTCTTAATGTAAAGAATGCCTTAAATTACAGGCAGGATCTGGAAATCTTTACTATTGAAATAAATTAATTCCCATGTAGCAGTTTATCTCAGTGTGGATTTCTCACACCAGAAGTACTTCATTTACCTTTCTGCAGTATCATTTAACATCCAAATAAGCACGAACCATCACCACCAAATATAAGCAATCAGTGTAAACTCTAAAACCATAATTAATCCAGGCAGAAGGAAGGGTCCCACCAGGAGAACCAAAGCTCGGCGTTCAGAGTCACGGGGACTAAGGCAACTTCAGGGTGGCCAACATCTCCATCAGGGTGTGAAGGCATCTAACACGCTGCATGAGCCACATGGGTCTTATTCTTACAGGAGTGTAACTTGTTTGAAAAAGGCACTCAAGTCCCCAGCCTTCACAGCCAAGAGACTATCCCACTGCCCAGAAAAGGTGTTCCTACCACGCTAGCTCCTTATGGCTGTCCCATGTCCACAGGAACAATACCCAGTTTTCTTAACAGGGGTAATGGGAAAGATCCGTGAGAGAAGAGAAAAATTGATAGTAAGACGTAAGAGAATAGAAGACAGATGTAATTTAATGATAAGAGATGAGGAGAAGACAGGCGGGTGGACATACAGACTCTGTGGACCAGTGGAATGGGTGAGATGATGAAAGCACTGAGGGAGAAGGTGGACCTGCTGCTGGTCATTGCCAAACCTCCATGGACCACAAGTGCTGATGGGGATGGAGCTGGAGCTGGCAGACTTGACAGGTCTCTTTGTGTGGTCAAGAGCTCAAAGCTCCCTCCTGCACCTCCACCCTGCTGCCTGGCTGTACACTACCATCATCCAGTAGGGTTCTTGACAGATCTTTAAGCCCTCAGAGAAAGAAGTCGTCAACGTGGGCAAAAAATTCAAACTTTGGAGGCATAAATATTTAAGATCCTTAGATGCAGATTGCTTATGAGTTCACTACTACATTATATACATCTTTATCATAAAGCAGCTGTTCCCTGTACATGCATGTTGTGTAATTTATATTGATCCTGTTCTGTGCAACCTGCTTGGAAATAAGGTGTTTCAAAGTAGGGGATGCATCTTGGCATTACATTTAATTGACTAGATCCACTTAATAGGTAATATAAATGCTAAATGCATACGCGTGGGCCACAGTAATACGTAGCAATAAATAGATTATTACTGCCTATATTCACCCACAAAGCTTGTGTTATTGAGCTTTGACTTTGTAAAAGTTTTTACATGGAATTATAAATTTATGTACGGTATTTGTTTATCTCTCACCAACGCATTCCTTGCTCATCTCTTCTACTTGACTGAATGTTTTAAGGACAGAATACAAATTACTTATCCAAATATAGAAAAAGAAGTTATCCTGGCTATAAGTGAAAGTGTACAATTGACTAAAATATTGCATCTTCATATTTGTTTCAAATGCTATTAAAACTAGAATATAGCAAAGCAGTTCAAACTGCTTTTTAATTTCTCATTAAAAATTAGAGGAAAAATATTTTTTGCAAATATTTTTTGGAGCAGGGCACTGGGCCAACTTGTTAACGGCAGGCTGCCTGGCAGACCTCCCGCTTCCCACCCCAGGGACAGTGCAGAAGCAGCTGGGACGTCACCCCAGTGCCAGAGTCCCAGTGCTCCTGGCACGGCTGCAGCCCCAGTGCTGGAGGCCACAGGGATCAAAGCCCTGCCCTCCCTGCGCAGCTGGCTGCTCTGGGTTTGCAGCAAAAGAGGTCAGGACACTTGCAGGTCTACCAAACACCAACTTTTTTTTTTTTTTTTTTTTTTTTTGAAGAGTTAGTTCATAACCTTTTACATTAATGTTTAAAAAAATGAGCACACTACTGTTTGTAAAATGCACTGTGTATTCAGTGTACTAAACATAACTTTTTAAAAAAAATTAAAATACATAATTCATGATAAAAAGCTACTAAGCCAGAGAGAAAGACAGATGATATAAGCTTTGTGATAAATTTGCACCACAGCAAATGGTGAGCTTGTTTAAATAAATAACTGGTTTGAAGGGTGGAAAACAGACACTCTCCTGGAGACCTTAAAGAGACTGTTTTCTTCAAGAGATGAAGTGCTGTATGTGTTTGCACTGAGACAACTGAAGAACCCGTATTCTCTCCTTACCCACCTCCTAACCGTCTCCAAGGCTGATTAATGAATGCAGACTGCTTGTTGTTCCCTTTAAAGTCCACTCACCGGATTGCGTTAGCAGCACAGGGCCCGTCTCACCTTAACAGTGCAAATTAGTCTCTAGGTGTCATTGATTTAGATATTAGTAGATGCAAGTGCCAACCTGGCTGTCCTGCGCCTTCTTGCTGGAAACCAGCAATCTTTCAAACATCTCTGCCACTTCTTCCGTGAGCTGAACCTGGTGCTTTTTCAAGAACAAGGCATGGTTGCTCAAGCAAGTCCGCAGCATGTCCACGTCCCACTGCTGGTCTGGGCTGAGAAACAAACCCAAGCACCATTAGTAGGACACCCTGCATACATGAGACTCACACAGGTGTGACGCTACTCATTTATGTGGACAAGTGGGTCAACATACAGTGGGAAAAGCATCACACATTTTGTCCTTAATTCCCACTTTTTCTTTTAAAAATGTCCAAGTGGAAAATGCAAGAAGTCACTTGTGACTTCTGCAAACGTGGGGAGGACAGGCAGGGGTGATCACTGTCTTGTGTGTCCCCAAGTCCGTCCTGAGACTCGGAATTGGGAGGCATTAAACCTTTTCTGCAGCCCCTAGTCTCAGCCTTGGGCAGACTTCACTTACTCCATCAGGCACTCTGCTGGGCACCCACTTCCCCAGGCTTGTCTTTTTTTTTTTCCCCAGAATTCTTTTTATTATTTTTGAGCAAAAGTGCCTTTTCTTTGAACACAGAAAATATAAATACTGCAATCTTGTTTGCCAGAGATGTTTGTTTTTCCAGTTGCTCCAATGAAGTTCCACAGAGGAGTGAATTCCAATTAACTCTACAAGTGTTTGTCCCTAAGAAACCATTCAGGAAATACAACAACATATTAGTGCTTGCAGGCATATCAGCCTCGAAAGGAGAACCAGGTATAGTTAAATAGACCATTCTTCAGTGCTCACAAGTGCCCCGATCCTGCTAACACTTGAGCATTGCTGAGCCTGTAACAGGGAAGAAGGTCTAGACAGAAGCTAAGTAAGAAAGAATGGAAATTGTTTTCATTACTGTACTAAAGAGACCTTAAAAAAAAATATCAATTCTCACCTGTCCTTGTGGCATACGCACAGGAAAGAAAAAAAACCATTTTGAATAACTGTGGTTTATTGTTTTTAAAGGCTATATGCATCTTCTGCTTCACAGAAAAATAATTTGCTTCTCAAAATTACATTCCCCATCCTTACGTGCCTGAGACTTGTGCTGAAGATCACAGAAATTACTGGCTAAGAGGTCTCTGAAGTTAATGTTTCCTTCCCTGCCAGAGCAGCCTGGGGTGGCATATGCTATGGACTGGGCAAGACGGTGGGACCTGGCCCAAGAGCTGCCCCATGGTCTAAGATTCACCATCAGTGAATGAAAAAGAAAATAAATTAATTTGCTTAATGTTCTCATTTCAAGTCGCGTGCCTGCTGCAAAGATGCGTTAAGATCAGCACTTGGATGTCTTTATTTTCCAGTGCAATCAGAGGTCTGGCTCCAGGTCTGCTTTCTCTGCACCAGAGAGGCAGAGCAGACTTGGGGAAGAAAGAAAAGAATGTTAATCACACCCACACGCAAGTTTTGTGTCTGCGATACCTGGTTTGCTTTTCATCCACCGCTCTACCTTCAGCGTTGAGTGTCTTCTCAGGTAGGAAGCATCCATTCAGCATGCTCTGTAATAAAGCCTGAAGCTGATGAAGGACGACTGCTTCGCATGCTTCAAGGTCGTCTTCTTTCAGACTGCTGGCCCAATTACAAAAGCTACAAAATAAAGCAGGTATCACATGTAATGCTTATTTAAAGCCCAGAGAACCAGCATTGGTTTGAAGGCAGAATCTGTAACACTTCTCCTGGCTAATGGGATAACCAGTGGGACAGCCCAGAGGGACAAACATCTGTGATGCTCTCTGCAAAAGATGTGGAACAGGACAGGAAGCTCAAACCTAGCGCTTAGAAGACGCCAGGTTTCATCTCACACCTTTGCTTTTTGACAGGGGGGGAGGACCCTGCACATGTCCACTCGGTGAAACTGCTTCTTGGCCAGGCAGCCTCAGCCATGCCGTGGCCAAAGCAGTCATGTCGCAGGAACTCATCTCCAGCGGTAGGCTGCAGGGGCCAGGTTGGTTTGACAACCCTTCCCCTTAATTCCCTAGAAATCCTCTAACCATCAAGTGCTTGGAAGAATCCTAGTCTATGGAGGCTGACATGTAATTTTAAGTAAAATTCCAAAGCCTTTCCCAGTTCTTGTAATTAAGAGCCTGTGCTGTGGAGGGACAGTGAGGGCTCTGTGAACCCAGTTTTGTTAACACATGGGTTTTGGCGATTCTCTTTGCTGTTTTACCTCGAAGAAGAAATTATTTTTCTGGTTATTGTTGTCTACCTCAATAAATCATATCAGCATTACTAGCTAAGGGGATGCTGTCACTCTTGGAAATAAGTATTTACTTCACTTAAGGGATGTGCGGAACAAGGCTGCAAAAAGTGCTACATTTAGGAAAGAGTATTTGTTGGGAGTAATTTGCTTATGTGATTCTGAGAGCCATATTTCAGCTCTCCGATGACATTAAAACAGCAGAAGAGGAAGGAGGCCTCTTGGCAACTGGCAACGTTTGTTTGCAGGAGCCCGCTTGTTCTTTGCGCTGGCCATTTGTCACTGCAAGAGCGAGGACCCCGGCTCAAATCTCAACAGGCTCCTCCAAAGCTGCTCGGTAACAGCCTCTCGCCATTGCTCACCTGAATTCAATTAGAAGCATGTGAGCAATCAACAACAAAATTATTACAAGCATTACACTGGATGTACAGCAGCAAGCAAACAAGAATACAGGGGATGGGGTTAAGGCATAGGCAGCACTGCCTGCCTCCCTGGTTCCTGCCTGCAAGAGCAGTGGAGAGGGGAAGCAGCTCGCAGGGAAACGGCATTAACCTGAGCAGCTCCGCTGTCCCCATCGTCCCCACGCACTTGCCCTGGTACAGCGCCCGGTGCTGGGGGCTCGTCCTCACCACCACATCTTCTATCAGCTGCAGTGCACGGGAGAGTCCCGCCAGCATCCCGAAGTGCCTGCGGACAGACAGCAAACAGGGCTTGAAAAGACCCGAGCTGTGACGAGTATTTTCAATGCATTCCCATCACACCAGCTGGAAAAATAAACACCCTCATTTTAGCTTTTCAAAGTAAACAACAGCAAAAATCATGTTGCTTGAGCTCTGTAGGAAGACAAAAAAGCACATGAGCAAACAAACCATCCAAAAATCAGCCAGGGCCTGAGACACTGCATTGAAATTACCCCTGCGCTGAGTAGTTTAATTCCTTCACCTCCACAATTGAAATAAATCTGGTGACCACCTACAGGTATGGGGGCATAACTGGGACCTCAGAGGGGTTTTGATGAAGCTGCACCTCTATAATGATGCAAATTAGGACTTAAACATTGAAACAATACAGCAGGCTAATCCTTGAACAGAGGTGTAAATGGCTATTCAGGTCCAGGCCGGCTGCCTGCTTTGTTGAGGACTTTCCAGGCCAGGTCTCCACCAGCAATGCCCCAGCTGGTCCTGCGCCCGCAGAACCCCACAGGCAAAATACAGACTTTTTAAAAATTTTTTTTTTTCCATATGTAGAAGCTGACATATTTATACAGTTAACCTTAGCTTATGCTCCCTCAAGTGAAAAGCTCTGTGCACAAAAACTTGCATCATTTTTGCAATCATGTTAAGCTGTACCAAAAGTTGTGTTTTCCGTTGGACTGTTGGGCAACAGTGAACAATTAAGTGGGAGCTGCCGTGCATTTAGTCGAGTTTCCTAGACATTTAATAAGCAAAACAATACCAGGGAGATCACATATGCAGTTAAACAGTGCTTTTTCTTTTGCCCCAGTCTTACAAACCCTGTATTTTAGCGGCCGGCTCGTTTCCCATTGTTTTCCTCCCGCTGGGTGGTCCTTCCAGGGTGCCACTCGAGAGGGATACAATAATAAAAAGGGAAGGGGAAGGAAGGGACACCAACATAAAGAAAAACAAAATGTATGACAATCTGCAGCAGGCTACGGATCAGAGGTCAGCAAACAAGAGGTCCTTCTCTTTTACAGGTTGCTTCCTGGAAACAGTCTGATTAAGCTGACAGCTTGAATTATGTGTTACATTTTGTAATGCACAATCCATCTGTGCTAAGTCCTCTTCAATGCAGCTGAAGCAGCACAGGCATAAGCTCTGCCTTTTTCCACCCCCTCAGCACAGCCCTTAAAATAGTCATCATCTTTCTCTGCACTAATTCTCAGAGATCCTCTCCCCCCCACCCCACTGCCACTCCCCGGGTTTAAGTCCTTAAAGAAAGGGCCGGGTGCTGTAAGGAATGGTAAGAGGATACAGAGCCTTTCACCTCCGGTTCAGCAGCTCAGACCGGCAACAAGCAGCCGAGGACCAGAGCTATCGGGTGGCTTCACCTGGCAGGAGGGGAGATTGGGTGCTTCTAAGGTGCTGCTCAAACAAGCCAGGCAAGCCCCCATTGACAAGTGGGCTCCTGGGCTGCAAGACGGAAAATACACAGCCCAGGCTGTCATGTGGGTCTGAGCTGGCAGGATGAGCCTGAAAACACATATTTACAGCCTCTGATCAATGCACCCACCCAGCAGTGCTCAGAAACACAGAAGTTATTTGCCAAAAAGCATAATTTTTAATAACTGCAAAATTCCAGCACCCTACTGTGAACTGCAAGGAAGGTGCAAGGCTTACGCTAAATAATCTTTCGTAGCAACATCACCTTTATTTAACAACTCGATGTTATCATGATAACCATTCTTCTAGCTGGAGAAGGCAGTTTGAAACTAGGCTGAACTCACCCAAAGGTAAAATACAACCTGCAAAACACTTACTGCGGGGGGGGGGGAACCCAAAACTTTTAAAAAAGGGAATGGCATCCCTGCAGTAAGGTGGGAAAGGCATTTTCTCCAAAAATGTAAACTTGTGACTTCCTGACAGGCAACAATGATTTTGTTTTGCCTCTCGAATAAGCTGTGGTCTCTGCACACGAGAGCTCCTTTCAACTCCATCTCCTGTACTAATTTTAAATAATACACCAAAAGCGTACGAATGGCCCAAGGACGACAGGGGAGGGGGAGGGAATGGTACTTCGTTCGGATGCCACAGCAGCGACACTGCTGCATTGGGAAAGTCCAAGCTACAGATATCTCAATTTAAAATGATAAATATGCACAGTTTTGCATAATTTCAGCATATTTCTTCAGCCAGCATAGGAATTTCATTGGAGAAAAACACACGGACTGAAGGGACATCACAAGATCTGTGATATTATGCATTTTGTGAATCTGTGGCACGATATATTCAGACCAAAAAAAGTTGCATTCTCATAGTTTGTGTAATTTCTATAATTCAAATTCATGCAGTAATTAACTTGGAAATTTTTTCCCAAGATTTTCAGCTCATGAATTATTTTGCAAGACTTGAGCATGCACACTACGTTTCACATGCATTGGAAAGATGGACTTGGAAAGCCCACCTGGTTATAAGCGCAACAACGGAAAGGCTACTTATCCCTCCATGAGATCTTCCATGCCTGCCCGTTTTGAAATTTTATCTGCGTTTTAATTTTCAGGTAAAACAAATTAAGATTTGTATCTTTTCTGCAGAAACAGCTAACAGTGGCAATCCCACTTCCATGGCCTTGAGAAACAGAGGTATTCAGCTTGGCATAATGCGAGAGGAAACCTCCACGTTCTGGTTTCAGTTGTGCTCCGCAGATAATGCGAGCAGTGAAACCTTTCGTATAATTTAGCTGGGCTTCAAGAGCATTGCACAATATTTTCATCAGTTCATGAACAGCGAGGCATCACTAGCATCGACGGGGAGAGAACAAAAGGTTAAATTACCATCGCCCAGCTATGACTTCTCTAGCAAAGGCAGGCACTCTATATAACTTCCCTACAAAGTGTTATGATTAACAGGTGTTATACAAAAGAAAAACTGGGTAAAAGCTATTTAGATGTAAATTAGATGATGTTTCCATAGCAAGCAACAGTCTGATGCAAGTGTGAAATGATAAAGTTACAGAAGTGTATATTGATGGCCACTAGTTTCTGCTCAACTGCCATCTATTAAAATACAAACTAATATTGAAATCAGTACCTAAGACAATGCAACCATGAATGTAGGAAGAATGGATGCATTAAGCAGATTAAAAAGCTGCAAATGACCAAAAATAAACAAAAAAACCAACCAGCAAAAGAGTACTTACTCTCCAGGGGTAGAAACGCTGGTTTCTTTCGTACATGGCCTCTCCCCAACGTACAGCCACCACCTAACCACCCTCTATCTAGTTAACCACTCCAGCTAGGAACATTTTGCATGTGAACAACACCCACACAAGGTAGGGAGACCCAAGGGGAGCAGCACCCACTGGAATACAGCACATGCCTGCACAAAAGGCTTTTTTCAATATTTCTGTTGTGACTGGGGGCACGAAAACGCCAGTGAGGAGGGAGAAGGGTGTTGAGGATACAGAGGACAAGGAAACAGAAGCATGTCACTAAGGGACAGCAGGCAGGAAAAAGGCAGCAAGGAGTCACATAGGTCACAAAACTGTGGGGCCAGGCAGTGGTTGGATGGCCGGGGTGAAGGGGGATGTGGGCATGAAGCACTGCAGAGGGAATTGGTGGCAAATGGACTTTCAGAAGAACTAAGAGACGGGATAAAAGTGGGAGAGATGCTCCTGCAGCCATGGGGCATGACAAGGTGAGGACCCAGGAAAGGATGACAGCAGTTGGCATGGGGCTGTTCACGGGCAGCAAGGGAGCAAAGCCAGCCCTCCCATGTGACCTGGCCAAACCCCATGGACCATCTCGCAGTGGGTATTGCCCCCCGGGATGGGCATGTGCTTCCCTGTCTTACGAGGGCATTGCAAGGCTGAAAATTCAGCTGTGATTGATATTACAGCTGACACTCCAGTATTGCAGTTGTTGGCAGTAAAACTCCATTACTTTTGTATGGTTGCAAAGGACAAGCCGTGCATCACTGTGTTGCCCTTTCCTCTCTCTGCTATTTCCAGATAAAAAGCTCAAGAAATTTATCCAACTGGAAATTTTAATCCACGCAAAATATGCTGTTTCATAAGTTATAGGTACTATTAAGCTTGTTGAAATAAGATTTACTTACATTTAAAGAATGTCTATTGCATTTTAATAAAAACATAAATTACCTTCTCCAAGTCTCACCTGAATGAGTTACCTGAAGCCATCTAACCACTAGCACAGAGGTAGCGAGATACTAAATAAGTAAGAAGCCTGCCCACTTGTATACGAGCTTTAGTGCCACGCATCAGCCAAGCTGTGAAAATGGCCTCCAGGGCATACACTAACAAATGACTACCAGGAGAGAGAAAATACATAAGGACATACCTGTCTGGTGCTGAGCTGACCAAGGGCTCCTCCTGTGCTGCGGGAGGGTTTGGTGGTTGCAGCGGAGAGCCCTCCACAGCACTGGCATCCATGCCCCGCTCCCAGCTGGCCGGTGGCGAGGACGTTCCCTGTGGCACACTGGGAGTGCTCGGCATCACCTCCTCAGCACTTGCAGGGCCTGGGAGCTCAATGCTGCTCTTCCAGCTTGCCTCCTTACAAGTCCACCAGTTACTCAGGCAAGGCTTTGGTCCTGTTAAAAAAAAAAAAAAATTACCAAGGAGTACATTGTAGCATAGGGAATGAAAATAAGATTACCTACACTGTTCACCTCTTTCACTTAACAGGCATGAACGAGCATCCCTCTGTTCTCCCTTCACTTTGGGTTTCCCTGCCCACGGCCCCGTGTCCTTCTGCGCTCCTCTCGCAAGGGGGAGTCTGGGGAGGCTCCAGCCTCCACACTCACGATGGGGTTTGCAGCTCGCGGCAGGTGGGAGACAAATCTGGCACTCCTCAAAAACCATCACCGGCATGAAGACCAACTACTTCACTAAATCATCTCTGGAGGCATGATGAAACGGAAAAGCTGGAAAAAAGCTTTTCTTTGGGAAAAAAGTGCACCTGAAGAGGCTACTATCATACACATTTTTTTTTAAACCTTGCAGAAGAAATACATGCCTGGAGGCTTTTAAACTCTGCACGTTAATTGCCTTCTCTAAAAGAGGAGAGTATGGGGCTGAATCATGCTTCTACGATGACAGATACATGCTACTTATCTTTTTATACAATGCCAAAAGTTAATGGACCAGTTAGTGCTGTAACAAATTAGTATTGCTACAGAAATTCCCAGTTTTCCACAAAATTCACCATGGGTTTAAATTAACCAGCATTCACACACCTGCTAACACTACAGCACCCAGCATTTCTGCATGTCTTGGTCATGGAGTTTCACTGAAACTGAATCACTTAAGGTTTATGCCAAACAGTAGCTTGTGCCAGAATGGGCTCTCTTAGCCTTGTTTCCAAATTTGTGAAGCAAATATGTGCAACAGGAACGTCACTCCTTCACCTGCTGAGAAATGAGGACGGAGAGGAACAGAGTTTTTTTCCCCCCAGTTTTGGGGGTGGGGAAGGGGCCATTTTATTGCTTTGTTAACCTGGGGGAAACGGGATTTGTTCCCTCCTACATTTTTGTGCTGTTGCTGCCGAGCAGTGGCCAGGGAGCAGCAGGAGAGTCTGGCAGTTGCTGCTCTGCACCGAGCCGGCAGCAGAGCCCAGTGCGTGCTCGTTCCTGGTATGGCACAGCCAAGCATCTTCATCAGCTCCCATCATTTGCAGCATGGAAGGTCAAGCTTAGGAGAGCTGGAACAAGCCAGTCCCCTCCACACATTCAAACCTGGACCACATTAGCCTGTTCACTTCACAACACGCATTTGGCAGCAGACAGACATAAAAAGCCCCCCGGGCGGTCTGAGGTGATTACTGCACTGTTTGACAAAAAGCTCATTTTGATTTTGAACCCAACTGTACAGTTTCTCTGAAGGCAGAGATACTGCATTCCAGAAATTAAATGGGTATTTCTTTCCCAGACACGATGCTGGCCACCTCAGCCTCCTCCCCCGGGGAGGAACCATCGCTCTGCAGAGCTGCAGGCAGAGCCCAGGGCTAATGTAAGCCAGGCTGGACTGGTCTCCTTCCAGCACCAGTAAGGACAAGCTTTCATTAAAACAGAGAAATGGCAAATACATCAGATGAAAGAAAATTAGAGGCAATAAATTCCTTAGAGAAAGAAAAAGGAATGGAAAAAAAAACACTCAAGAAAGAGGATGCCAGAAAAACCCCAAGAAGGACTACAGAAGAGCATATGATGGGGATGCCAGCTTTCCTCTATAAAGAAACCCACAATCGTTACAGGAGATCAGGAGTCTCTGCATCACTAGGGTTGCCACCAGTTTCCATTATAAATAGCTCCATTTCAGCAATTGTTGTGGGACTTGGAAAACTAGTTTAAGTTGAAAATTGTGATGTTAACTGGCAAGGTTTGGGGAGAGTATTTCTGCAAGGTCTTAAAAAAGGAATAAACTGTTACTTAGCGACAAATCTTTGTCACTGTGACTTCAAAACCAAGTCTATTAGTTTACTTCAAAGTAACCGACCAAGCCAGTAAAATGGGAGATAATATATTTTGCCAAGATGGGGGTGGGGGGAAGGAATGAGAAGTTGGAAGGCAGCCTTCGAGGGCAGCACATCTCATCCCAGAGCAAGAGCATCTCGGCTGGGAGGGTCTGCACCACCTTTCTCAGGAAAGTCCAGAACAAGGCAGAGAACCACCACCAAGCAGGAGTTAATCCAGCCACATACGGGGACATACTGATCCTCAGTCTCCATTGCCAAATCCTGTTTTTGGAAATGGATGAACTATTGTGCACAAGCACAAGGGAGAAGGAAATCAACCTGAAACAGAAGTGACATCCTCTTCCAGTGAAGTAGGTTCATGTTAAACCTCTTAAAACGAGGCTCAGACTACTTCAAGACAACTGTGGGCACAGCAGTGAAGAAATCTTCACTTTCTAATAGGGAACCTGAACAGGATCAGCCCCCCAGCAAGCCCTTGCCTGTCCAGATGAGTGGCCTGGGAGGAAACAGAGTCAAAAGAAAAAAACCAGGTGGGTGGGGGGGGTGGGGAAGAGTGCCACCATGCTTCAACCACAGTGCAACAGGCGTAGGGGAAACCAGCAGCCATGAGCATCACTCTGGTTGAGATGAGCACACCCCAGCACTGGGCAGAGGCAGACAGGCACGTGTCCCGACGTACCTGGGATGCTTCCCTGCGGCTGTTCCTCCTCAGGGGTAGCTGGTTTGGGATCAGATGTTGAGGAAAAGAGTTGCTCAGAGTCTTCTTCACTGGCAGCCAGGTCCCTGTGTTTCGCTGCTCCCTCCACTGATGCATCACTCTCTAAATCAGAGCTTCTGCTCTCTGGACCGAGTCCTTCAAGTGATGGAGAGCATGAAGGCGGGTCAGGCGCTGAGTGGCTCTCTGTGGGCTGTGGGGGTTTCTGCCATGTGCCCAAACCTCCTGCAGCTGAGACGGCTGATGTGTGGCAGCCCATAAATACTGTTGCTGGATGATACAGTCCTCTTGGCATGGCTGTCTTGGTGCTGATTCCTGCCTGTCGTCCAACCCACGGCATCTGAAAAACACAGGTGGGAGATGGCTTAAGGAAACAAACAGGCAGTGCATTGCAAGTTGAGCTTCTAGGGGATGGCATGTTGGTTTCTGGAGAGAGAAGTGTCACAGAATTCAAGTATTTTCTATAGTAGTAGTAGTAGTATTACACAAACACTTGGCACGCATTTCTTGCATTCTAGTGTGAAAATGAAGGCCTGGACCTCAACTGGAGCTCTGTGAGCCAAAGCAACCAGTGGCAAAAGCACACTGCACCCCCAACCCAACTAAAAGGGACTGAAATACATGAAGGACTCTAATCTAAACAGTAATTGGTTTTTACAAACAGGCAAACCTTTAAGATTAGATTCCTGCAAAGGCTTTTAAGACCCTGGACCAAAGCACAACATTTAGAGCTACCCAAAGTCACTGAAAATGCCTTGAAGTTACTGACTCTAGAAGAACCATTGTGCTCTACTTGTGCATGACTCTGTACAGCTGCGGGTAGCCTGTGGTTTAGGTACCACAGCATCTCGAAGCCAAGACATGCCCATTAGGACCCCATTGCAGTGTCCGTGGCACAGCTGGCCTTTCTGGAGCCACCCACAGCAGCTGCTCTGATCAGCCTCCTCCTGCCGCTCTTCTCATGGTCTTCTCTAGAAGGCAACAGGATGAGGAAGGGTCCCCAGAGAGTCTGAAACACACATCTGCCATTGCTTACTTGTCTATATCCAGCTTTGCTCACAGCATGTCAACAAAGCAAATAAGAATGAGGCAAAAATCACTGTATTCATTATCTTTCTTCTGCTCTTTCCTGTCTGTTAAATCACACCAAAGAGGTAGACTACTCGGCTAATACCACATAGATGAAATCGCATTTTCCACAAGGCAACTTCGGGCACTGAGCAGAAACATTTTAAATGGCACTTTCCTTCAAGAACTGTTGAACTTGCATAAAAATAGTTCCAACAGTATAACCACTCTGCTTCTAAATGCCAGTGTTTTAATACTTGTCTTTTTTTCTTTGTAAACCTACTCAATCAGAACAATTTAGGAGGAGTGGCTACTGCCACCACTACTACTAAAAGGTCACCGCCAGTTTATGCAAAGCCAAAATTAGCTATCGTAATACCATTGTTCATACTAAGCAGGGCTTACTTTTCAGCCCCAAATCACAGCAGGACAATTTACAGTCACCTCCACTCCTCTCTCCTCTCTTTCATTGCCTGACCTCTTCCTACCATACAAAGTCAGCTGCCAAGCCCAGCTTAGAGGAAACAAAGGCATCTTGTCTAGTCTGTGACCAAGTTTCATTAAAAAAGCTCAAATTGCACGTAACAAGAAGCAGAACAAAAAGCCATGAAGTTATTTTAAGAAGTAAAGGTTTGCTACTCAGATTAATTTCACAGCTTATTCTATCACCACTGCTCTCGGGTTCCTCCTAATTACTTTTCGGGTCTTGGATTTGCTGCTTTAAAATGCATCTAGCAAGTACTTTATGGATTTAGCAGCTCCTGGATGTAGTGTTCCAAAACAAATGCAATTCAAACAGGTACAAGTGCTTGGCAGAGTCATAGCAGATGCACATCTCTAACAAGCTCCTCTCTGATTGCGGGGGTGGGGCGGGGGGGGGAATCTCTTCACCACCTTTGCATTCTCAAAGCAAAAGTATGACAGATAACATTGGTCTATGTACTGGTTTTGCCACCAAACCAAAACAGTAAAACCATGTAGATGAATTACCTAGAACAGTCAACAAAATTACTGAACTTCATGTCACTCCAGCTGGCAGTTAAATGAAGTCTCTGCACAAAGCACCCTTACAATCCTCTTTTTGATTGTGGAGTGCAGGCTCCCCACTTCTTCCTCCAGTAACAAATACAATCTTTTTTTTATTATCATTAAAGTGTTTTGAAGGAACAAAGATAAGAAAAAAATCCCTTCCACTAGGACTTAAAAGGGCCCAGTCTCCCCCAACAGTAGACTACCATGTGAAAGCTAGGGAGGTGAAGATGAGCCAGAGACTTGTCTCTTCCAGGCGCCAGGCTTTACTCTCACCTGGGGACACCCCCTTTCTAGGGGAAGGATGCTCTGCCACCCACAGGTGTCCCTGGGAGGTGCCCTGTGCCCTACGTCCAACAGACACGGCTCCGCCAAGACACACCAAGTCCAAAATCTTTGAAAGACTTCAAGAAAGTGCTTCGAAATTGAAGAAGCCAGATTTCATGGCACAAAGATGTCAGATGCGCAGGTTACACAGCTCTGCCAGCTGAGAAGGACCTCTTCAGTACAGGACCTCTCCTCCAACTTCCAACACCGGATTGCCATTACACTGGGCTTCAAAAGACTGGTGCTCAAGTCCTTTCCATGGAGAATCATGGTTTTCTAGACAAACACCATTTGGGTATATGATTTCTGAACTGAAGAACTCCATAAAAATTGAGAGTCCAAGAGGGTGCATATCCCACAGCTCAGAGAAGTACCAGATATTCAAACTGGTGTTTTAGGGGATGGGATACTGACCATCTCTCTAGAAGATTGGTTCTGTGATTGTCCTTATTGGTCTTTAAAATGCATCACTGACGAGGTTAGCACATGACCACTCCTGAAGGAAACCATTACGATACCAGTGCTGGTAAATAAAACCAGTTTCTAGCTGTGTTGATTTGCATCCTGGATATACCACCTGCTAACCACACGTGCTCGCTATGACTGACTCTGTGCCACATCACTGAGAACAAATTCCCTTATTTTGGACGTAAGAATAAGCAGATTTTAAAGTGAGGTGAAGGTGGTAGGAAACAGGCACAATCAGTCTGGGAAAAAAAATGGAGCTACAGAGTAAGATCTGAGACACAGCACACAGACAAGGCAAAAGGATGCACAATTTAGTTGAAGTTACCTTTGTATTTAAGGAGGGAGATGGGAAGAAGAAAGAAGGCGACAGGGGATGAAAGAGTCCGCAGTCAAGCTATTAACTGTAATTCAACATAAAGTGACATTTGGGTACGCACCAAGTTCTTGTACTGTCCAAAACCTGCTAACAGTTTTTAAAAATCTAAGTCACACCACAAGCCTTTGATGTTCTAGCACTTATGTAAACTTTTCCATAGGTTAGAAATCATGTCTCCTACACTGACTGCTTTTAATTGAAGAATCTAGCATTCAAAAATCAACTTACCTTTTCATGTACGTCTGAATTAAAAACGTAATTCGCAAACTGCTGGAGGCCTGCTTATATAGGTCAAGGTTGCTCGGGTTCATTGCTTTGTATATTAGTTTAAAGAATGCTCTAAATTCAAGGTTTTTAACTTTTTAATCTATTGGGAAAACTTCCTATAAACTCAGATTAACGACTGCTAATGCACTGAAGAAAGAAAACTGAAAACCTTCCTCCTACTATAAAAACAAAATAGTGTGGCCTCTGTTTCTTTTCTGATAAGAGTCTTAAATACCAAACATTTAACTGCATAATAACATTTACTGGCAGCCTGGCAGCCAGGCAGCCTGCTTAGCAGATATATAAAGCAGGTAAAAGGAGAAAAAGTTAATTTCTTGGCTGAATGATTCCATCGGTAGCTATAGGGCAAACTAGAAAGTCTTTTAGTAAAGTAGCAGTTGATTCTTCTATCAATCTGCAGCACACATACTCTTCCAAGGAATGCATTAAATATGAAAATCATATCCCGTTATCATCTGTTTCCAGCTTTCAGCCCAGTAAGCTTTTCTTAATGAATGCTGTAGCCTAAGGGACAAGCATGCTGTTGGCTTTTCTGAATAATGGAGTGATGCTACCGTTTTTGCTTATTACAATATCGACTAGCTGAGGGGGTTTCACACATAGTCACAAGTGACTACTCTTGCCAGCATGCTCCAAGTTATTACAAGATGTTTTTAGACATTTCATCTAAAAGAGCTTTACTGCTTTTAGTGAAGAAAACAGCTATGGTCTTGAACTGTATCATTTATATGGAGATAGGAGGAGGGATTAGAAGCCTGCATTACTGCAGATATATAGCAGAATATATTTAAGTATTCCTTGTCAGTCTTTTTGTCTGTTACTTAGATATGCAATCTCTTTTTGCTTCCTCTGAGAAAAGGTCAAAACGCACAAAATTATACATATACCATATGAATCGACTGCTGCATTTTTAAAAATATCATTCATTAAGAATACTTCCTCCTCAGTCAAGACCATTTTCACACTATTCGGCATAGGAATTATAAAAACCAACAAGAAGATGAATATAAACAGTTAGAGTTCTCCCCCCTTTTATAATTCTAGTTCTTTGGTTGAAATAATTGCACTTTTTACCCAGGTTATTCTACTTCACTCAGGCACTAAACAATATTTCACACTACAAATGCCACAACAAAAATCCCCACGCAAAGACTGCTTAGCAATGCCTGCCTCTTCATGCAGCAGCTGAGAGGAAAGCACATCAATGTAATAAAACACATTTCCCCCCACTTCGTTGACATTACCTGCTCGTTGTATTCTTCCACGTCACCTTCTGCTGACAAGTTACCTTCTTGACATGATAACACGCTTTTAATTTCTCTTCCATACCATTCCTAAATGTGAACAAATCCATTACGTAAAACTGAAGGCCAAAAACCCCAAACCACAACTCAACAAATATTACTTTACAAATTGTGCACTTTTAAATGTAATGTCCCAGCAGCATTTTTTACTTGGACTATATTTGAAGAGCCAGAGATCCCATTTTCTCCTAATTTTTCCACCCCCCTGAACAAATGACATGGCCTGTACACAATCTTCTGCAGGTTTTTAATACACATTTATTCATTCACATAATTTAGAATCCTACAAAATAGTAGTAACTTGTTGACTCAAATTTATTTCATCCCAACTAGTATTTGTAATGCCAAATTATTTCTGCTGTAACCAGACAATGACTCCGTGGCTTTGGGATGAAATGAGCTTTAGAATTTGTTTTACATACATCATCTCACAACTCATTGAGCTATTATAAGGAAAAATATATGGCAGATGTTACAAAGAGCAACCCAGCATGAAAGGCAACTTGCTGTAGTGTTACTAACAAACAACTGCATAAACCGTCTTCACCTCCACTACATTGTTTAATTGACCAAATGTAATGCATTCATAGGAGGACTACTGCTTAAAAGCCAAGCACATGCAGCACCTATAATTAATCCTGTTTGTTAGTAATTGTAAACCCCAATAACAAGTTACATCAGCCCTGAATGAAAGCACTTCAGTACCTATTCTGCATCAGGTAATATGCATGAAAATAAATCTTTAAAACAATTAACTTAACCAGCTCTGCACTTCACTCCAATGGTACATTCAGCAAGTCCGCTATTTCCCAGGTAATAGAAGCTGTTCGTAAAATTGTAAACATGAAATTTTAAGAAACAAAAAACTAACCACGTGAGAATTAAAGATGCTTAAAATAAACTCAAATGTAACTACTGGATTTTCCTGAAATATTAAGTGAATGTACTTATACTCCCAAAAATTACTAAACAAACTGCAGACACACACAGGGAAAAAAAGTGAATCTTTCAGAAACAAAAGAAGTTTTGTCAGCTATAGCCATATAATAAACTGTGGACATAGTTATGATAAAGCACCCCTAAAGGGCATTCTCTCTCTCTGAAAAAAAAAGAGAAAATAGTAATAATTTCTTTCTGTGTACTTCCATGATAGATTAAATGATTACATGCTCCATAATTCTTATGCAATCCACAACAAGGGGGCTTTCCATAACTGTAGCATAGGGGATGTGTAATCTGTGCTTTGTTCGACAGCTCAGAAAAAAATAAGTCTAACTGGGCAAAAATAAAATGGATGGCATAGAAACATCAAAATGGAAGCAATGAACGAAAACCCTGCATGCAGATCAACCACGGCACAACTGACTCACACCAGTGTAACAACCTACCACTAGTCAAACTGGTGTACGTTAGGGTTGCTCAGAAAAAAATAATCCTTAAAAACAACAGGGGAAACCTAGCATCACAACATACCCCCAGTCCTGCTCTGCTTTAAATAAAAATGAAAACCAAAAAATTTAAAAAGGAAAAAAAGAAGAAAGGGGGGGGCAAAAATCACACACACACACACCCCCAGGGACAGTCTCTTAGCTGTATGTTACTAAGCTGAAGCAAGGAAAAGATGCTCTGTGAATGTCACCAGACCCAATAGGTTTAAAAGAATTACCAGGCACTAGCTGGGCTATAGTTGTGCGAGGAATTTATTAACATGGGCATGCAACCATGGGATGTTAGCGAGCCCGTTGGTTTATTAGAGTGGAAATCAATTACCACCAAAAGAGATAGCTGCATCTTTTCCAGAGAGCTTCCTTACTTCCAAAGGCAGGGAGATCAGCTAACACCCCCCCAAATCACCCGCTCTGTACGCTGAAGTCAAGGACAGCACCTCCCAAATAGGAAATGGACCTGCAAACCTACTAGCCTTTCAGAGGGAGCATTCATCAACACAAACCGGCCTCATCACCCCATCTCAAATCCCATACATAAAAATCTTCCACATGATCAGAGAAAAGCAGAGATTGGGACTGTTTACTCTCATACAAACAACGGAATGCAGGGTTAATACGTTGCAAGTTACAGCAAACATGGGGAGAGTTGTCTGAGGCCAGCTAGTTGTTGTTGTTCTTAATAAAAAAAGCAAGGAGATCTTCAGTGAAATCAAAGACAACTAATTTTAAAACAATAAAGTTTAGGGGTTTTTTTTTCCTTTGGTTGGTTTTTTTTAGCCACAGTACAAAATTACTCTGTAGGGCTTGTTGTCACATAATACTGATTTGACAAAAGGCTTATGAGGATTCAAAAAGGACTAGACATTGCATTAACATTAACATCCATAGTTAAAAGGACCAAAGATTTTTAGAAAGGACAAAGGCTCACACTTCAGGTCATATATTTATCTGCTGAAAGAAAGGAACTTTTCTAACATAAGAACTGCATACTGTGCAGTCTACTGTGATGCAGCTAGTGAAAGCCAAACCAGACAGTAGGAAAAAAACCCAAAAACCAAAACAAAAACCAAAAACCATTACTGCTTCTACATCCCTATTTCAGGCTAAGCTCTAAAAACACTTCCTACTGTGGTGTTTCCAGAGCATATTAAGAGAAAAGTTTCCAAAACTATTTTACAGTAAGGTTTGCTTGTTTGTTTTCAAACTTCTACATCATTTTATGCTTTTTCCCCTTCCGCTCCCCCTGTTTTTATGTTGCAGCCTGATTCTTTCCTCCTCTTAGCTTTTTTCAGAAGTACTTACGTATTTCTTTTCATATACTTGCTGCATCTGAGCACCTCAGCTACCCCACATTTTTCTTTCAGTCCTGTACCACTGTCACCCAAGGGTGCTGCTGCAAGTTCACGTTTTTTGGAAACTGGACCCTGGCTTTTTAGACACCTCCTTTTAAGAGGACCCCAGTCTAAGTTTTACTGTCTCAGAACAAGCTCTGTGTGCCCCTGAACAGAAGAGAGAGGGGGGAACAGTACACTCTGTAGAACACTGTTCCTGTTTTAATTCAAATTGCATTTCAGAGAAATAAAAACAATCACAACTGAGTTCTAGACAGCCACACAAAAGTAAGTGTTGTGTCAGTACCACATCACAGGGGCTTAAAATGCCTCAACTAATTTGTTTCCTTCCCTCCTTTCTTCCAGCAAGTTAAAAACGGGAGTGGCAGAGGGACAGAAATAGCCCCTGCCAAATATTTCTGAAGAATACTACTGCTCTTGGAAAACAGATATAAACACATTTCCTTCCCAGATTTTACCTCCCCCAAAATCTGACTCCATGTATTAGTGGCACGAGTACCTCTGAGATCATTACCAAACTATATTATTTTGCAACATCCCAAATTGTTCTTCAGTGAAGAGCAAGACAACATAATAATATGATTCAAAAATCCTCAAAGCTTGGCTTTTTCTTATAGTAGCCTATTAAACTGAAAGTACTTCAGTCATGAGTTATGATAAAAAAATCGTATTATATAACCTTAAATATGGATTTAAGAATCTATTTACTAGTACGAGTTTCATTTTATTTCTGCACTAATTATAAAAAAAGCAATACAAATGCAACTCTTAAACCTACAAATAGCATTACTGATACATAACCATAAGGAAAAGACTGAAGCCATTTACCCAATAGGGTTAAACAGGAAAAGCAAAAAGTCTGTTCACATTTGCAAATGAGGGTTTGAAAGGCTGGAAAATTAAGAGAATCATCAAATTTACTTCAGCATGGGGGAAAAAAAAAAATCATAGCATTTCAGGCCTAGTGGTAACTGATCTTTTTATCTCAACAGAAATGGAACTACTATAAATGTTTGGGGTTTTTTTTCCACTTCCACAACTTTTTTCTCCCATACTATTTTATGATATTAAGGTAGATTGACTACTTACTGGAGGTACAGAAATCCCCATTTGGTTATCAGTTCTAATCATCACAGGGAGAGATATTCTAATAGGGGCTTGCCAGAAGACAAATACTTTTCTCCAGAAGGAAAACACTGCAGAGTCAAGCTGACTTTTGACAACTGTTTCCACAATGAGAATTACAGACCAAAACAACAGAAACAGGCAGAACAAATAGCAGAGGATGGCTAATGTAGTTGTTGAATGGTCACTTTCATTTGTCCTCATGAGAGCTTTTATTCTTTCTTTTAAAATGTAGTGACCATGCATGTTTTCTACCTGTTGTGGTAATTTTTAAGAAATTAATCATTTAAAACCAGAACAGGCATGTATTAGTTCAACAGCCTCTTTTGTAAGGCTAATTCATCCCAGCACAAGCTCTCAAACTGATGACATTCAGTGAAGTCAGTAATAAGACCCCTTTTGCAAATGTAGACCTTTGAGCTGACACCAGTCAAGGCTATGAGAAAGAGCAGCATGCTTGCGGTCATCTTTGATAACAAAGATGCTACAAAGAAGACAACAAGAAGTATATTCTGTGGGGTATCGGCTCTTTTAAAAGTGGTTATTTGGTACTACCACACTCCTACCATGTCAGTTATGACACACAGCTCAAGCATACAAGGTAATGAAACACTCCTTGGGCTTGGCTTTACCAGCCCAGAAGGAAAGTTCACAACTTCCCCAACTCTGAAGGCAGATGAATCAAACCTCTCTGAGTACATGCAAAAACATTACCAACAGCAAAGTTAGGAGTGATGCAATAGGATACTGGAGGAAGTAGGTTTTTTTCTCTTAGCACTGTTCAAGTATTGCTAGTTGATTGTTTAGTAATAGAACTGTGACCTCATTTGAGCTCAGATTTAGTCCCGATAGTTCAAATGCAATAATCTGTTGTAACAGAAGTTATTTACTCTTACACTTCCTCTGCTGATGAAGATGGAGCAATAAGCAGGGGCAAGACTAACTATGGCTATTTAGGGTGTTCACACCAGCAACATGAAAAATATGTTCTGAAATTACTTCCACAAAATATATGCGGGTACTTTTAAGTAATAAAAGCCTTACTGAAATACTGGTTTATAACAAAGTCTCTATGAACATTTTACAACTCAAGCCGCCTTTTTGTCCTAACCTAGATATCACTGGTTTATTATCTTATCACTAACACCCCAAACACATGATCCATTTCCACATTTTTTGATCTCAGCTCTCCCTTGCTTCCAAGAGACTCAGAAGCACAGGGCACTTTACTGTGGACCAAATGTAGAGTTCTGTGAAGTGTCGCTGACTACCCCTGCAGCTACAGTAGGGTGTATTACATCATATATTAGCAGAGTTTGGGTTCATTTCAAATTCCCAAACATTACCACTTTAAGCACTCCAAAACATATAATGAGGTTTCACTAACATCTGAAGTCTTCATGTGTATAATACTCAGACAAAGCCAATTTAGCAACCCTGTAATAACAGTAAACACTAACGTATTAAGTCTTATAGAAAGTTACTTCCATCTTCTGAATCATCTCTGAACTTGAAGTTTTCATATGAGCTTCAAATTGGTCGAATTGCTTTAGAAAGGCCTGGTTTCGCAGTAGAGCTCCTTTTTGTCGTTCATCTATTTCTTTCAGGTATTTTTTCAGCTTCATGTATTTTAGTTTCATTCTACAGGGGAAAAAGAAACTGTACTTAGGGTATGAAAATAAAACAAATGCATCTATTGCAATCACTTTTCCTCAGACACAGACATACTAACACTTACGTAGGAGCTGCCCCCCCCAGCCCCCAAAAAGGAGTAGACACATTCTTCTGCACAACTGTCCAAAGCTACATTATACAACCGACAGGATGTCTGCTATATAACTTCAGATTTAAACAGGGGTTTGGGTGTTCAAAAGGATAAGTCTATTAAAAAACGCTTGTAAATTTGTTTTAAATGGATTATGTTTTAGTCACTTACATTAAATCAAAATGAAAATTGCATTTAGAAGAACGTGCTCTGAAAGTCATACAAATTGTCACATTAACGCTGCCGTTTCACAACTGCTTTAAGCCAACCTAAATCCGTGCTGCCACCAAAAGGGGCATCTCACTCCAAGCCTTTCTTTTTTGTGCCAATACTATCTGCTATGTGGCCACGTGGCAAATTAGGCCAAGAGTAATCCAGCCAAACCAGTTCTCACCCACCCAAAAAAACAGATTCACTTTCAGCCTGACCTATTTTCTTCTCTGATTACAGGGCAGCCACACAAAGGGAAAATGTGAACCAGAGGCAGTAAAGAGCATATTTTGGTCTCAATGTGCCTACAGGTCTGCTTAAATCAGTAGTGAAATTGCAACCTAAATCCCCCCAAGCTGGCAATATTTTCAGAGAAACTTCAGTTCAAAACCTGTTAGACTAAAAAACATCAAATAAAAACAAAAAACAAAGTACATGTGATGCTTCCCTACCCATTCAGGCAACTTTTTTCTTTAATTTACACCTTTTTCTAATCTAAAGGCCCTCTTTCAGAAGAGGAGTTCCTAAGGGATTGGCCATTACTGCACCTAGCCCTCAGTCGCTTGAGTCAAGACAGAAAAGTCGAAAAGTCACCTCTATGAGCTTTACAAAACACATCTGGGGAAAAGAACAGAACATTGGATGAGACATACTTTAGCCCTCTTTTGTTGTTGTTGTTTGGTTTTTGGTTTTTTTGCTTTGGTTTGTTGTTTAGGGTTTGGATTTTTTATTTTTTTTGTAAACAGACTGTATATGTAATTTGCATTAAACAGATAATGCAGAAACAATCCAAGAAGCAGGCCCAGAACCTAGAATATCCTCTAGGACTTCCTAAAACTTTCAGACTTTATAAGACCCTAGGACTTTCTAGCACAAACTATGCTACAGTGATTTTGTAAAAGTTGCATAAAACCAACCTGCATGTTAGTTATGACTAAGACAGTAACGCTTCCATATTAATAGAATAAGGTAGTTATGTTACTGAAGTTATTTCATCAATAACTTGGGAGACATGAATCTTACATTACACTTAACATACGAATATAAATTTGTTATCAAAAACCCCTTCAAGATAACATTCTAAAAACATTCCATGATACCTAAGTCTCTGTAACTAAAATAACTTCTGAGTAGTTTTTAAATAGGCTTACAGGTATGCATCAGACTTCTTGTATTCCATCAGTTTTCTTTCTAATTCCAGCCTTTTGGCTTCACTGGAAGAAAACAAACAACATACAGTAAGGCAAAACTATTTCACAATTTAAATTCTCAAAATGCAAGAAAGCAAGCATTTTACAGAGCACAACCTTTTCAGAGCAGAGAGCACATTTTTGCTAGATCGGCAGTCTTACAGATTGACCTGCCAGCCAAGCTTATCACAAAAAAAAAAGTCAAAGCTTTTACTTTTCTCTTTGTTCCTCATTGGAACAAGAGCTAGGTTGTTTTTAAAGGGAAGAGATGCCTGAACATGTATACACCCACACAAGACCACCAAAAAGCCAGACTTCTGCCCAGCTTAAGTTGCTGTTTCAAGTCCCTTCTCCAGCAGCTCCAGGAAGGGCTCTAAACCCTGGGACTGGCAGTCCATGAGTTCATCTCTCCCTTTCTTCCCACTCCAAGTCCAACAGCAGTCCACTTTCAATGCAGGAAATACTTTGCTGAACTTGTTCAAAAGGACAGCTCCCCAGAACTTCTCATAGGATGTATCAACACATAAAAATAGATTTCAAAGAAATCCCAACTCTTCCCTGGCTTACAGACCCAATGTGCTATCCAAGTATTTTATTTAACAATTTGAACTTAAAAGCAAGTACATATTTCACACTTACACATTAAAGGCAAGTACATCTAGAGATATGCTACCACTACTGGCCAGAACTTACTAAAGGGTAACAAATACAAGTAACCATCAAAAATATTTATGGTTGTGAAAATGCTATGGGGCCATACGTATCTGCCAAAAGCAATGCAAGGCTATAGGCCCATGGGGATGATCAGATTGCTTGAGAATGAACTTCATACCTCACCTACAATCTATTTCAAAGAGAATCTATTTTCAGGAAGAGCAAAGAGTAAAGCTGATGTTATTTAATGATTACAAATTGCATCTGAAGATGAGCAACCATCCCATGAGCAAAAAAAATAGAATAATCAATTGATAAGACAGAGGCTTCCAGTAGATTCACATTACAAACCCTGCAACAATCAAAGCAAGTACCCTAAGTTGCTTATTAAAAAATAATCTCAAATTCTTATTAGGCAGGAAGGCTGTACATGTGTAAGTGATATGGGCAGATACGTGAGACTGCATGCACCCATGTGGCTAGGCACGCTTATCTATGGATTTGTGCACTCCCCTACAAACGCGTCCATGTCATAGCCACACACGTTTGCCTCCTCCCAGTTGCCCTGCACAGAAGCAAGCAAGGAAAAAAACCCTTTCTGCTTCTTAGTCTGAGAGATCAAGGCATCCATTTTACCCATCTGATCCTGCCACTGTCTGAAACAAGATTAGGTTTTCATGTCATGTATGCAATTTAAAAGCCACGCTTCATCTGGGATCTCATCCTTTCAATTTCCTTTTACATGATGGACAGCTAAGCAAAAGCAGATTTCAAGATCTTGTTTTTACACTTCTAGAAGTAATTTTCACGACTCAATAAAGAACACCGATATCCTGATGGATGTAAAAGCCGATGGATGCGAACAGCCATTGGCTCCAATCCTATTCCTCATTCTCTGATACCACAGGTAGAACATCACATTCCTTAGCTCCTGAAAGATCGTTTCCTTTCTACCAGTGTGGTTTTTCAGCATCCCATTCATTAGTCTGCTACAGCTATTTAGACAGCACATGAATATACAAGTAAGGTCTTCTCAAGGCAAAACAAAGCAGTATAGAAAACATCAGGTAAGAACCTCTCAGCATTTGAGCATCGTCATTATGGATGCCTGGAATGGTTACCACACAGCTTATGCTGTTTTGCAACACAGCCCCATCCAAGCACTGAATTAGAGGCAATCAAGACTTTACTTGTAGATTTGCTTGCCCAGATTCTGCCAAGGTTCCAGGAGAGTTTCTTTGTGTCAGTGACAGAAATGAAGCTTGAAGCAGTACAGGGATCATTCTGGCCACTCCATTGCACCACCACCTCCTTTTTTACATGGAAAACCAAAGCCCTCTGCCTGAAAATTTTATTTCTTCGCACAGTTTTGCATTAGGTTAAAATGGTGCAAACAGTCAGTTATCAACTTTTTTCTTAAATGGGCAAAAATAGCACACTTCAGAACTTTTTAAGGACCCAGGCAGCTCATTTTCAAACAACCCTGAACCTTCAGTCTACAGAGAAAGAGTGTTAGTCTGGGATTTGAGAGCAGAATTAAATTCCCTGGTCAACCACAAGCTCTCTCTAATCTCTGGCATTTCACCAGGCATCGATCTGTAGTGATATTTGATCCCTCACCTCCCATTTAAACCAGCAGGACTAAGATGCCTCAGTATTTTTTGAGATACCAGGCCTTAGTCTCTTTGTGCTTCAGTTCCGCATCCATAATGTAGGAATAACAGTACTCCTGTCATGATACCCTGTTGAGATAAGTACATAGAAAATTGCGCAACACTTGGACACAATGCAATTTTCCCATAAAAGTAAGAAATGTTATTTTTACAGTTGTTTTTCTACACCAGCCTGACATTAAATCAACTGTTGAGCACTGAGCTGCATCCACCTTACTAGCCTGGAGCCTGGCCAGAGCCTGCTCAAGCCTTAGCAACTGCGCTGGTCCCCTGGGCGGGTTAGAGGGGGCCTGTTTAGAACCATCGTCTACATACAGCTGATACCAGCACATATTTCTGAAACTAATAATCCTACCTGGTTTACATCCTCTGCTCAGGACATCTCCGTATTTGTACAGGTTTACTGCAAATCACCCTTAGCGTGAAGCATCTGGCCTCACTGTCTGAAAAGCGAAGCCAATTGCAACGTTAGTCACGGTGTTAAGTACAGCACTTAACTATGTAATTTATTTACTTCCTTGCCCACACCGCTGAAACACTGCCTTTCTCACCAGCAACCACCGAAGATTAAGTGCTGAGTAATCACAACATGGTCAGGTCTGTATAAAACACAGAAGGTAAACTCTCTGCCCCATCTCACTTATTATCTTAGACACCTCAAACCTAATTCTTTATAATTTTGCCCATAACACAGATACCACTGACCACCGTACAAGGACCTACGCATACAGTAATTTTTATATTCAGACTGGACAAAGTACCAGCATTAAGAAATAAAGCACATCCAATAAAGTCTAACATGGAATTTAAGGTACAGTTATGGGGTTTTTGCACAAGTGTTAAGGCAGTCCGTGCTGACTGTTGATCAGAAGCTTAATATCTGGTGGCTAATTTCTCAAGCACTTCAGAACTCAAGTACTTAAGGAAAAAACAGATTTATGAGAACAGGTGGAAAAGAAATATCCATGAGAACTCCCTTCTAGTTCACCAAGAGTCAGATGGGGGACATAACCAAGCAGCAGCTTCCTCCACCATATTCAAGCCCTTGCACATACGGCTGCTTAGTAGTGGCTCATTGTTTGCTTAAGCACAACTGCAAACTGAAAGCAGGACTGCAGTCAGGAGTGAAACAGCTGCTGGGTACTTCAGGTCCTAGAACAGGCGACTTGGATTAGATTGGTGCAGAATTCCAAAGCAGGGCTTAAAAAGCTCCAGTGATTTAACAAAAGTTTTTATATTTTTCACTTTAAAAAGTTGTTTAGATAAAAGGTATCACTTCCGAGAAATTCTGAAGAGGCAACTGCCTCTGCAGCACTGTTCCAGAGGCAACAGCAGCATACAACTTGCACTCTGGCATAAAAATTACTCCTTGTGTGTCAACACCACCAAGTGCAAATACATCTTTTATTTTGTATTTTAAAGTACACACAATAGAAGTGTGGCAGGTAGAAAATATTTATTTATTATCACAAGACCTGTTAAGCTGGGTCTCCAAAGGAAGCACAGCTTATACAATCATTCTGTCTGTCTGCCTGTAATGCCCCTTCCCCAAATAACTCCTGAATCTTTTGGTGCAACTGAATTAGAGGAGCTGATGTCTGAAATGTATGATGTTCCCAGAGGTTTCAGAGGAGCTGAAGAAGGGAAGTCCAGTCCTGCAGCGTGAGCTCAGCCCTAGCTCAGACAACAGAGAGGCTATAAAAGAGGTGACCAAACTTCACGCAGACCAGGCTCTTGGGAAGCGCCAGACATCTCTACTCCTAACACGAGGGACATCTGCACGTAAACACATAGTTTAAAGCAGCACACCGTCTAGAACACTCAGATTTTAATCTGCCCTCTCCCCGCACTTTCTAACACCACAATTTAGATAAAGTGTCTTCCATATCTAGGGCCCACATCTTTAATAATTTCTATACAATAAAAATATACTGTGTATATTCTTATCCAGACTTTTAAACAGCAAATTATTCCTGTTTTGTTTGCCAGCGGTCTTCCAGACCAGAACAGGATATTAGTGAAGATACACACAGCGTTTTCGTCAAAGCAGTATCTAAATGCAAGTTCAGATTATCACAGCCATGGTGGTGTTATTTCGGCTAACTGTGTGTATTAGTTAATGTATAAAGCTAATACAGTACTGTAGCTAGCATGAGACCCAGAAAATCAAAGTCTTCTGTATTAGACAGAAAACAGGTACTGCTTAGAAAACAACTTCATAACAGTATACCACAAATGATCTCGAGAGACTTCCTCTGGCCAGAAAAAACACCCGCTAATTGACACCAATTACTGTAGTTATTGCAGTGAGTAACAGGCAGGGAGCATCACTAATTGCACACAGCTTCAGAGGAACTGACCGGTGATTGAGATCCCTCAAGCCAAAGCCCCTTCAGAAAGCTTGCATCACCACCTACACTTGCTTTTCTCCTGAAGTCAGATCCCCCTGAAACACCCACAAACTGAAACACTTACAATAACTTTTCTTAAAGATTAAAAAGATGCCTGTAGAGGAAACATCTGTACACACCCTTTCATCAACTAGCCAGCTCTGAAATACCAGCATCCATATTATTTGCTTGAAGTAATTTTGTAAATGTCGCCAGAAGCACTGCAAGAGAACTTCTCAGACAAGGGGCAAGAGGTCCTCAGTGCTTTCAGAAGTCACCCAACAGGCTAATACGGAGGTCGTACAGCACAACGAGGGAAAATATCGAAATCGGGCGTTACCAATAAGCTAGCTTTCAGTACACACGCCTCCGCCAGCACGTAATCGGCCGAAGGAAGATGCTAAGGCAGAAGGAGGTGACAGAAGTGCCCCCTCTGAGACGCTGCTGGGGACCTCAGGCTACTCCCCCCTCCCCGGAGAAAGCCCCCTGCTGTAAAGATCCCCCCAAAGCACCCCACGAACCCCATTTCGTTTCTCCCGGGGCGCAGCACTGTTGCGTTCCCGGGAAGGCGAGAGCCCGCCTCCCCTCGCCGCGGGGCAGAGACCCGGGAGCCGGCCCACGCCGGCCGGTCCCCTCAGGAGAGCGGCCTGCGGGCGCGCCGGCCGGGGAGAGGCTGACAGGAACCCGCGGGTGCCGCCCTCCCCTCCCGGCCCCTTCCCGACGGCAGAGCCCCGCCGGGGAAGGGGGGCGAGGCCTCACCGGAGGCCCGCAGCGGCCCGGCC